TTCCATTTTGTTGAAATTGTTTATTGAAGATTAATGTTTTCCAGTTTGAAGTTAATTTATTGAGACGTTCAATGTCAAATTTTTTTGTCTGACGTGGAAGATATTAAAAACTATTATTAGATTTATTAATTATATTCGTAGATTGTGAGTACATTGAACGAGAGATTTGGATTGCGTATGTATGTCGATATAAGTGAAAATAGGAATAGTCAAGTTTTTTCTGACTGAATATCTAAGTTAAGCGATAATATCTAAGTTATCGAGACACTTGAATATATTAGATTTTATTTTAAATTATCCTTTAAAGGACAAAAAAAGGATATTCTATAGGCAATGAAACGAAGAATCAAGCGTAAATTTATATAGTTTCGAATCAATTTTAAAATGAATATAAATGTCTTTCAGGTATTTTCATCAGATTGCTAATAAATTAGAGTATTTAATTCATAATGATTTATTTATGACCAAGTTTATCGTCTTGTTAATATAGTTATAAAACAGATGTATCGGAGAAAGTTTTTTACAATTTTCATTAATTTTCATTTAATTAATCACATTCGGATTTTAATTAATTCATTACGATACATAAAGTATTAAAAATAATATTTAATTTCTAAAATAATTTTCCACTATTCGTTCCAAACTATAACATACTTATTACGAAACTACTACTATGAAATAGCTAAAATTAAAAATACGATTTTAAAAAAATTCGCGATCAATTTCCTATCATTATAAAGTTATTAAAATATCATTTATCATCATAAAAATGACATTCTTTAAATCTTTCACATTCCTAAATTTCATTCATTTTAATTTTAATCTTATATTGAGAAATCTTAATTCACATATGACGCTTCTCAATCAACAAGCTTATCTTTTGTATTAATTTTTTTTTCTCACACATAACCTTTCACGTACAATCGCAAATCTGCCCAACACCCTATGTATAATACAAATTTACATTTTTAATTAAACGCGATCACGAAATTTTCGTGTTCACTTTAAAAAGTTGTTCCAAATTCCATCCATAACCAGATTCACGATCAAAAAGATCAGTTCGAAAATAACCTGTCGAAAATAACCTTCGATTTTCTCCGCGCCATCTTGCGAAACAACCACTTTATCACGCATGCGCATCGACTCGGTTGCATTTCGCCTGGAGAACGTTCGCGCAGGGTTTATGAACGCGAGGAAAGGATAGCCGCATTTTATCACGGGTCGACTGGAAATTAATCGGCGCACGCCCAAGAGAACATGATGAATACCGTATCGTTCGAAAGTCCCGTAACGAGGTACCTCCCTGTCTCAAGGACGAGCTGTGTGCCAACAACGTCTCGAATATTCCTTCGTTCGTTGGATCGCGATCAATCGAGTCATCGATATCGATGTTATCTCCATTACCGACACGCAATACGATCCTGCTCGAAGAGGTTTCACGAGAACCGCTCCAATGTTTCACCAGTTCTATTATTTTCTATACTAGATCAGAAATTTTTGCAGATTCACGATTGAACGAGCATGACTTTGGTTCGTTTTGCGCCCCGATAATCTCGCGGTTTGAACGTCGTTTCTGAACCTTGACTTTAAAAAAAAAAGTGAGAACGATGAGATTTGATCGGCGCGGAGAAATGTTTCGTGTTGTTGATCTCGTCGAACTTCACTCCGTTTTGCTGTAATTTGCTGTAACGCGAAAGTGAAATTGAGCAAAGGACGTGGAAATTGAAATTCGATCGAAAGTGTGAACAAAGAATGAGAAACTCTTGAAATATTGTATCAAATATTTTTCATATTTTTGGATTAGAAGATTATCAAATTTATCGTTCGAAGCAACGAGAATGACTGTAAAATTAATTGTGCGAATTAACGCGTATAGAAATTGGTGAAAAGAATTATCATTATTACTTGAAGCATATTGCCTTTTCGTCGTCAACGATGTAGTTAATAATTTAGAATGATACGAAATTAGATGTAATAACTGATGTTAAAGCTAACAAAGGAACTGTAATTCGAAAACCGTAACCTTCCTGGTATGCATAAATATCAAAGGCAATAATTAAACCGGCATCGCTTTCTATAAACTCCACGAAGGCGTGTAACGCGTTTTTATGCAAGAATTCTCTCTTATGTCGATTCTACACCGGTTCTATATACCGCAACATGCCAAAACAAGGCATCGCGTAATTTTATACGTTTCTACGTAATGGAAACTTGATAAAGCGCGTAGATATCAAGAAAAACCGTGTTAATACTTAATAAAACACGAACGCCTATATAAAATATACAGAACAATTTTTCGATTTTTTTTTTCTTAACGAACATCCTTCCAAATTTGAAGAAAATCCAAATATGCTTGGATTAAAGCTTGAAAAAAGTGACAAACTTTTTACACAAATAGAACTTTTCGAGGAGAAATTAATAAGAGAAAAAACGAAATAAAAATGGTAAAACGAGAAGTTGGAAAAGATGTTGAATTTCATACTACATAATTAAAAGAAATTCCAGTTAACTTGTTGAGTCTATATAACCATTGAAAGTGATAGTTGAAACGACAACGCTTCCTGTAAGGCGATAAACGTGTAGCGGTTTCAACGAAGGAATTAGGTTCGAACAAACAGAGTGTAATTAACAATAACAAGCAAACATAATAACGTAGTCAAGAGTTAACTTATAAAATATATAAAATAATCGTACATAAAATCCCTAAATTCCAAAAAATATTCACATTTCATCTCGTTTCATCGATCAACAGTTCGAAACAAGATATCATCGATCATCGTCAAAATGATCGTTTCACAAGCTTGGCATCGAATCAACAGATCCAGAATCGATCAATGAAAAGTAATAACCGATTCCATCCATCATCGCGTGTCCATAGATTACAAAATCCTGTTCCAAATTCGTCCGAAAGGGAACGATCTGAGCTGCTTCGCGTATACACACACACGCACACACACACGGCGTGAACGAAAAGTGACAGTGGCGTTTCGTACGTTTCGACTGCGGGTCGTCGCGAGGCGTGGTGCGCCCCTGTCTTTTGTACGAGCATTTGCTCTCGGTTCAAGGAGATCCAGAAACAGAGGCGAGTTGCGACGCTCTGAATCTGAATCTCTCACGGTAACCACGCCGCCATAATTCTGCCTCGCCCCGTATTCGGGTCAACCGAGTAGTAGAAATTACGTAACCACGTGTGCGGTTCCCACCGACGACGCGGGCTCCTTCTTACCGGAAGTGTATCGGATGCCGGAGTCTCGAGAGGACGTGCTCGCGGTCATTTGACGGGAAATCATCCTCGTAAGTGAGGGAGAGAGGGGGGAGGGGAGGGAAATTATCGATGACGAATCGGTGAACCGGGTGAAAAGTATCACAAGGAGAACCTCGTGTCGATGTGGAGGAGATGGAAATGAGAATGCAGAAACGTGACGGGAAGAGAGTCGAGATTATTTAGTTTCTCTTCGGGGCATTATCGAGCTGATATCCTGAAATAGGTAGGTTTGCTCGTTTCGTCACCGCGTTTCAACCAGTATTTCGAGCCAGTGTTTTGTGGAGTAGAAATCGTTCGATGGAATGTTTCAAGGACTGTTTTATTATTTCTTTGACGTGATCGACGGGAGGGTTTTTATCCCTTCGAATCCTATTCACCTTCTATATACCGAATATGTATGTTGTATAACGAATGCTCGTGATGCATGATTGTATGCACTTTGTTCGTTTCTCTTAAAGGGATATCATTTTATTCGTCGATTATTTTCTTTTATAAAAACAATTTTTTTGTTTCCAATGTTAATATGATTGTGTCGTTGGTTTCTCATCTATCTCATCTCTATTTCAACCTGTCCCGAACACTGTTTTATGAATTCGTTTCCTCGAATTTCTGTATCGCTATTGCGAAAACAGATGTCGTACAATAAATCAAAACTTTCCACATTTTACAGAAACGTGATTTCTCACGAGTAGAAATTCTTCGGAATCTAACATTTCCTACGATCGACCCAAATCTGCCATTTGCCGGTTTCTATATCATTATGGAACACGCTGTTTCCTCATAAATCCGTGTTACAAAGAAATTGACCTTAATACACTCGTAATGTACGCGTAAATGAATCATTACGTTTTGACTGAAAAAATTCAATATCATCTTCCTAGAAAAAATCGTTCGAGATAGAACCAACTTAACCTCAATTTGACGCGTATGAAATTCCAATTATCTCTTTCTTCCTCTTCTTCGCATAATGAAACAACATTTCCAAACGTATGATCTCGTAACATCGGATCAACCATTCTATAACGTTATAGCTAATAATACTTTTCTCCCTTGCTCGTTTCGAGCACGCTTTAGCAAGCTGGCCCGAGCGAGCGATAAGGAATTTTATGCGGCGCATACCATTCGCGCGTATTCGAGTTCACCGATCCGCGAAACTCGCTCTCTCCATCTTCTGCTTCCTATTCACTATAAATCCCGTATCCCCGCCATGCAGATCCGGTTTCGTGGCTGGAAACTAGAATAACAAACTCGTTTCGGTTTGTCCACATTCTAATTCAGCAATTTTGATTCGCGTGACGTTGATGAAAACCGTTCCCCTCTCGCCCCGCCATTAGATCCTTCTCTGCTCGCGTGTCTGACATATAACGACCCCTTTCTACTCTTATACTACTTAAAAACGTTATTTCGTGCGCGTGTCTGCTCAAGTAATTACTATCAATTATATTAACAGATTTGTAACGTGTTATTAATGAGAATTTGCTATTACGTACGCTGTTTTAATTATCGAGTATTCCGTGTATATTATGCGTTTTGTGAGAATGTGAAACGATAAAATGGAGAGTCGAGTAAAAGTAAAAGTAAAATTTGTATGACATTAGAAAATGCTACGCATTGGAAAACATGGAATATGGAATATCGTTTAAAGATGAAAGGAAAAATTCTAAATCTTGGAATGATACGAAGAAGAAGTAAGAGTAAGGATCATCATGACTAATGACTCGGTTTCAATTTGCAGGTAATCCCATTATGCCTGTTACTAATAACAGAAGCGAAACGAGCGGATCTCCGGCCTCGTATCGCGGAACCGCAAGTTTATTACGAAGAAGACGACAGCCAGGCAGCCGAGGACGATTACAGCCCAGCGGTCTACCAACCGCGTACACGTGCCCTTCCTTCGCCACGTTCGAAGGACGCTCTGCACTCATCGAAGCCTCCGCCAGTCCAGACTATTCGCAATTACAACAAGGTGAACGACGACGGATCTTTCACTTTCGGCTACGAGGCAGCGGACGGCTCGTTCAAGGAGGAAACTCGTGGAACCGATTGCGTGGTGCGCGGTAAATACGGCTACATCGACCCTGACGGCAACAAAAGGGAGTTCACGTACGTGTCCGGCAATCCGTGCGACCCGAATGCGCCCAAGGAAGACGAGGACGACCTCGCCGACAAGCAAGAGGAGGACGACATCTCCGGCCCGGCCAATTATCCTTCCGTGAGGCCGATACCGAGACCGGCGGCCAGACCTGCTTACCAACACCCCACCACGCCCAGACCACCCACCACCATATTCCAAACGCAATACCAGTTGGACGACGACGCCAGTCAAGAGCTGGGCGACGAGGACTTCGTGAAACCGTCCCAATTGAGAGGGAGCGGTTACAGAACGGCCCAACAGCCAACGGCCTACGTCCCGGTCACGCCGTCCACGGCTCTCTACGAGCCATCGCCCACCGCCAACCCCGCCGCCCTCTACAGACTAGCCTCCTCCACCACGCAATACCAGAGCACAGCCTCGCCCGTTCTCCGCGGCCAACCCAGCGTCTCCCCCGCCGCCTATCAAACCCTCGAGACGACGACCCGCCGCCCTGCGACCCGCCACCCGAAGCCGCAATCGGTCGCAATCACCCCTCGGCCCCACGTTGCACAAGTCGCCGCCCAGTACGTGTCCCCGAGTAGCACCGAGCGTCCAGCGTTGTCCTACACCCGACCCTCGTCGCCGGTCACCGTCACGCCCAATCTACGCACCACCACCGCATCCACCACGTCCCACCTCGACTTCGCCGCCGAGCTCGAGCGTTACGTGAACACCGTCGGCGTGTCGAGCCCCAAGCCCGTGCAACCGTCCCAATCGGCCAAAGTAAAACCGGCGATCGCAGCGTCCATCCCGGCCGCAGACCCCATCTACCAGTCGGAGCTCGTGTACGATCCCGCAACCGGTCAGTACAACACCCAACTATATCAATCGCTACCCCAAACCGTGGGCGACTTCACCCTAAGTCACAAACTCCAACCGTTCGTAGCCCAGCCCCAGTCCTATCTCGGCCTCCAGCAGTTGCAGCAGATCCAGCCCCAACAGCCCCAACGCCAGTCCCCGCTTTATAAGCAACCGGCCGCCCCCCAGCCATCCGCCACCGTCAACCAACCCCAGGAAGTGCTGTACAGGAAGCAACAGGCCCAACTGTTGCAACAGTCGCAGCAGCTCTACGCCCAACAGCAGAGACGGCAGCAACAACAGCAACAACAATCGACACCGTCGCACAGGCTTCAGCTGCTCGAGTCCCAGACGCAACCGCAGTCCTTTTACTACGTGGCGCCTGCGAGGTCCTCCAACTCGGCCAGCGCGCCACTTTCCGTAGGTCAGATAGATCACTATCTTCGAGCCACAGCCGGTCGTTATTGATATTTTCATTAGCTTACGAGTCTTCCTTTTTTTTTTTTTTTATTTCTTTCGAATTTTTATATATATATATATGTAGGGTACGTCTTTGAAAAAAAATTTTTTTTTTTTTTGTACTATTCGATTACCGGTTTCGGACCACCCGAACGCGGCACTTTAACAACGAGATGGTGCTGTCAGTGGGCCTGGCGCGTACGTATCCGGGATGTATTAATAATTGATTCGAGGTTATCGAGGAGTTATTTCTCTTTTTTTCTTTTTTTCTTTTTTTCTTTGCGATTAAATTATAACGATTAAATTAATTGGATTTGATCTTGAGAATAGGATATTCTATTTGGATACGCGTTACGAGTTGAATCGTGTTATCTTTTTTTTTTTTATTTTAACCTCGATGGTCAACTTAACTTTTTCTTTCTAAGATACGTTTTGTTAACGAACAATATTTAACCCAGTTGTAATTAACAAAAGTATTTACTTTTATCGAGTATGATGCGAATCTAATGAAATTCGAGTACATTATTTATTTATTTCTAACACATCGTACGTGTTTTTATTTTAGAATGATATGCTTCTCGCATCGACGACATCAACGTTCCATGGACATTTGCATAAATACGACGATTTTTATTAAAATAGATTCGATGCTAACACACTGTGATAGAACTGACTTTCGAAATCGTTATTTAACTTTCTAAAAGTTTATAAAATTTCGTACAAATGTAACAATTTCACTTGCAGACAAATCTATAAAACGATAAAAATACGATTTTCCAATTCTGATTTCTCAAAACTAGTTCATTTCGTAACGAAACTCGAAGAGACGACGACTAAAATTAATAATGACATCGTTGATAATGTTATCTAACATCGTAATTAACGAACCAATTTTCAGCTTCGAAATTACATTATTTCTTTTTCTTTCTTTTTTTTCTTTTCATAAACGTTTCGAGAACGACTATCATTAGAGAGTGAAAGTCAATGACCTGACGCAATATATACTCACGCACACGAAACGCATTACCATAGTAATTTCTCGTCGCGTCTATTCATATTGTAACATTGCAGATTCCGAACGCCACGACCAGAATTATTCATCGTGTGCTCACGATCGTTTCGAATAGAATCCCGACCTACGTGCTCATTCGATTACAAAATGCGAATCCGTAGGATCGAACCGGATAAATGTTTACCGTTTAAACAACGACGCCATGTTTAATCGCACCGACACACAGCGTTTCCCAGGGAAATGATTCATAGGAAATACGTAAGAAATTGACGAGGGAATTAATTACAAAATCGACCGCCACTTTGCATTTGATTTATGACCTATTTATCCGAATTGATCAGAAAATGATAGATTGATGATTTTTTAACAAATTGGAAAAATTAAATTTTCATTCGAATAAGTAGATTCAATCTTAATCGAACTTCAATTAAATACACAGAATTCTAGTATACTTGCAATAAATTCATTCCTTTGCACAATTAAAGCCAGTAATATGAAATAGAATATGATGAATCGTGTAAGTGGATAAACTGGTTCATGTGTGACAGAAATCTTGACTTGACTCTTTTTTCATTGAACAGAAGTTGACGTAATCCCCGAATAAAATATCTCGGCAAATAAATTAACATCGTATCGCTTAAACTTGTCCACCGAACCACTTGAAACTCTGCATAACAAAGATTGCAGAGACACGTGTAGAGTATCCACGCAACTCGATATTACGTAGAAGAAGAAAGAACCAGAACCGCTTCATCCGCGTTTCTACGATAAATAAAATTCCGAATTCACCGACTTTCACCCTGTCCATCATATACAATATTTCCGTGAGTAAAGTCGCGTTTACCGACTCCGCACGATTCGAAACCAATCGTCGATCAATATAACGAATCGGGTTCAAGATCGTTTGGCAACGTTCGATTTAAAATTTTCGGTTCCAATCGAGAGACACTAAATTCTACGAGGATAAATGTAGCATTACTTTCATTGGCGTGGTCTGCATTCGCCCGCTCGAACAGGGCGAACAAAACACTTTCTATTTTGCATTCCCTGTCGCAAGTGTGAGAATCGATTCGAATCTGAATCCTACGACTCGATTCCGTGGAAAGCTATGCGATCGCGTATCACCACGTGTGGAAACACGTGGATCGAGAGGCGTGGATCGATATGAATCACGTGCAAAACGTTTCACACGCATCGACTCGTTTCGTATCGATGGTATATATATATATATATATATATGTATGTATCGGGATTGTCGCGAGATTTTTGAGAAATATTTTCCCCGATACGCGACGCCAGGCCGACGATCGTCAACTTCGATTTATATATTTATCGTGTATCTATTTATTAGTTGTAAGCTCTTTTGAACGAAGAGTGAGTAAAAGCGGAACGTTATTCGTATTTAATCGAGACGAGGGTGTTAGGATACAAGGGACATGGGCGTCTCGAGAAAATGAAATTGCGGATCTAGCGCAATTAAGTAAAATTATGTTGTACGGTAAAACTCTGTTTATGCGAAATAATTGGAAGATCAGGGTTTCAGGTATCTTATTTAAAATTTTATGCAAAGTTCGATGGGTTTTTGTTTTTTTTAATATTTGAACAAAAAAGGAAATCGATGGATTTAATAATAATAATAATGATAAGCTTCGTTTGTTGGATTCTTCGTTAAAAATTCTGGATTTTTTAAATAAGAATATAAAGCTCAAATTTTGGTTAACTTGTTTAAATTAAATTTCCTTTCCTTCGCATAAACGAAGCTTTGCTGTACTTGTAATCTTTTCTTGTCGACGGTATCGTGCAGAAGCGTCGACATGCACTTGTCTACTCATATTGTAAATACTTTATCTCGTTAGAATTAAATATATCTAGCGGCTACCTAGTGATTTATACGTTTCAGTACTACGTCGATAAGGAACACGTCTCTCTTATACGTTTATAGTTGTTTTTTTATATATATATATATATATTATATATATATTATTTGTAAACGTGATCGAAGAAAAATGTATTTTAAAAAAAAAAAAAAAAAAAAAAACTTGTGTCCTATTTTTCTTCTTTTCTTTCTTGATACCTATTTAAAATTCCCACTCGCTAAACGGGCCAGAAAAGAAAGTAAAAGTATTGGAAGAAATCGTAAGTATGATAAACGTTCGATACGCGACATCTTCCGCGATTTTTTACATCTATACACGCGATTGTGTAATTTTCGATACGCTTTTGTAACTTCAATGTATATTAATTGACAGTCGGAATTTTCGACGCGTGTTATTCCTACGATTCTACAATTATACAATTTTACAACTTTCCCTTTCCGGAAATTTTTTTTTTTCAACGAAATTGTAAAATCTAGAAAAATTCTAGATCTAGATCAATTATTGTTGTATTTTTATTTCGCATACTTTTATAAATATTTTAAAAGAAACGAACCGATATTTTATTATATTTCTCTTTCAATTCAATTTTTATTTCTATTTATCGATCGAATTTTCCTTAGATAAGATATTACGCGTCTTTGATTGAACGCGTGAAATTACGTCGCCAAGGAACAAGAAATGAAGTTATATAGTGTATATATATTTAAACATTTGTACGCACAAACGTGTAATTGCAGCAAATATTAACGAGTCCGCCACTGACAGCGGTCTATTTTCTATTCGTGTTTCACAGTGGTTAAACGCACGCGGAAACCGCTTCCGTAAAAAAGAAATTAGAAAAATAAGGAAGTCGACGCGTGCAATTGCATGTAAGCATCATTACATCACCAGAGATGTTTACTGTCCAAGTTTCTACGTTCTCGCTACGATCCCATCATAAATAGCACGTGTGCAACCTCCTCGCCCGATTAAGGGCAGCAACGTTCGAAAGGAGAATCGAGTTCGATTGAAATCTTGGGAGGTGCAATAGAATGACGCAATGATTATTCGAGATTCGATGATTAAATTGGGTTACTCGAAGAATAGGGTATCGTATAAATTTATTTTAATACAAATGTCACGAAACAGATCTAATCTTTGAAGATAATCGATTGATCTTTGAAACGAACGATGGAGAATTTAATTCAGCCCCTTAAAAGAAATAGATCTGATCTTTGGAGATCATAGATGGATTTTTGAGATGAACAAATGAAAATTTAATTCAATTTCTAAAAGGAATATTAATATTCGATAGAAAATAATTTTTATTTTTATTTTGAGAAAGATAGAGATAAAAAATGAAAATTTTTTTGTTTTTATGTAAAATTACATTAACCACATAGATTATTGATGTCGGAAAATATTCAACTTTGGTTTAACGTAAGAATTCTTAATATATATATTCTAGATATTTTTTTATTCTAGTATCATTATTCTAGTATATATACGAATAACGAAAACAAATGAAAAGAATCGAACAATAATCAGGAAACAGTGCGGAAGGGAATATATAGTTCTTTGTAAATAAATTCACTTTTGCGGTAAAAGTTAACTACATTGGTGAAAGTGATTGAAAACGAAAGGATCTGGTTAAAGTATTAAATCAAATCGCGTCAAGTTTATATACAGCAAGTAGTTGCCAATATTCTTTTTTTAAACTTCTCTTTGAAATACAATTGTGAAAGCGCGCGAACCAAATGATTTATACGATATGAAGTCAAATTTCGACATACATTAAATGATAAATGTTTCTCTCAAGTTATTGTTAAATTATTTAATATATTGAATTCAATGGTATTTTAAAAGATTGATTTAATTAAAGTTAAAATTTATTCTATAGATAACTTCAATTATAAATTTTACATTCTATCCTTTGCTTAATGATCTAACCTATTCTGAAGTTTTTGTTTTATAAGCGAAGATGAGAATAAGTTATTTGATATAAATAAACAAAATATTATTTAAATTTTGATATAGATTTTTATGATAAATATATGTTATTGTTAGTATAAAATTTTTAATTTATAGTAGATATAAATATATTGTAGTATGTCATAGTATAATTTACGATTTTACAACTATCGGAGTTTAGCGAAAGTTGCATAGCAACTTTATAGAACACTGTCTTACCGATGGAAGATTAATGAAACAATCAATTTCTTTCATAATTTTGATACAAAATATATTCGACAATAAATTATACTTGACATAATTTATAAAAGAATAATTGTAATTTTAATTGCAATTGAATGTAAATTTTAAAAGCAATTCATAAAAATAATATTATAATAATAAGTAAGCATAGTTAATCAAAAATTCGTTATTTAAAATAAATATTTATTTTAATGTTATTGTTACATTTATTAACTATGCTTACTTTTAGAAAATTATATTCACTCACCATTGCAGTGACGCATATTGCTGTTCGTATCCGTTGTCGAAAAAATGCACGAAGAAATACGACGAAAGATGACAAAGTTTATTAACCTGTCAATAAAGATACATATTTTAATTCTCCTTCGCTTAAACTATTTAGAAATGATTATGTTTTAATTAATTAATCAAATAATTAAATTAATTTTGATTATTTTAATCATATTTGTGCCAAAAATGCTAATCTAACCTAAGATTATCAAATTGAGTTAAAAAATATCAAAATCGTATAAAATCGACAAAATTATATATGCACAAAAAAATTTACTTACATTTAATTATAATTAATATCAAAGTTTGATTTCACACACTTTCACTTGTCTAAAACACTGAATTATTTTCGCGAAATTTAAGGGACACTGACATTGTGGCAAATTCGAACGTTAGTACTGAAGCGATGCGCGCGCAATCATCGAAAGATATATCGAACACGGCACGTATCGAGATATATCGAATAAGGCGCGTATTTTCGTATATTTAAAAACATATACAAAGTATTTTGAAACATTTTTGAAAAATTTGAAGCAAAGAATTAAATATTACAAATAGATTCTTTTAAAAAAAGCAGTATATATTGTAATATCTTTTTTCCATATATATAAAATTGCTTCACGTATTAATTAATAATACTTTTACGAAAGAACTTTTACGAAAGAAGTAGTATACTTGTTCAAGGTACTGTCATCAATGAGTCATCATGATCGATATTCTATGATACATAATCAAATATGTATCTAGGATGAGAATTACGGGACAGTGCAATAACAATGTTGTCATCTATATTTATAAAATATGGATATTTATAGTTTGTTTTCCATAAAATGAAAAAATTAATGCAAAATAGATTTTAAAACATGTCTTAGAAATAAATTATGCGATTCAAAATAACTCTATGAAATTTAAAGTGTATTTTTAATATTATGGAATGTTTAAAACAAAATACCATTATTCAGTTCTCAGAGCAAGAATGTCAGTTGTTTCACAGGTAATAATGTAGGCGTGTCCATAAAACGTACTCACAATAATGCACGGTCTGTGTGTTGCCTTACAATTAACACTGTATTCGCTAACTTCTTCCGGAAAGTTGGATTGCATGTCCTGAAGTATATGTATATCCCTTAGATTCCATTTGACGTTTGAAGTATACTCGCAAAGTATAATTATCACGATCAGTTTAATTTCGTAATAATTCTTATCTTAAACCAAAAATAACTTTGTTTTCGAATTCCAAATAACGAAAAACGGATATCAGAAATGAAAAACAATTCAATTTCCTTTGACATGAATTTCAGAATCTTTTGACAGTCAATCAAATACAGAAAATTTAAGAAAATTAAATGCAATATCTCTTCGTGCGATCGTACATCAAAAATATTTATATCTCTAATAAACAAAAAGAAAGATCAAAGATTTCATAACTATCGCAAGATAAAATCTCTGCATAAAAGGAAGATGAAAAGTGAAATTGAAGCGTCATTTCCTCTATTCTTAATTAAACGAAGATGAATACCGGTATTCCCGTATATAAAAGCAGAAATCTCGACTCGAGGATCAAAAAAGATGACAGACAATTAATTTTTTTTCTTTTTTTTTTTTCAAATAAGCGCCCGGTGAACGCGTAGCCGCGTATCAGAATCGCAAATGCGAGGTTAAGCAACGCGACTGTCTTAAAATTCCCAATAACAATGACTCGAAACTACAAACTGACTACGAAGAGGGAGTGCAACGACAATCCGCGAGAGATTGAACAACAAGGGATCTAAAGAGGAGATATACAACCGATCCACGGTCCACGACAGAGGCATATCAAAGTGGCATCAAAAAAATTAATCTCTGTACGAAACTTGGAGGAAATTGCATGATGTAATAATTGTCCTGTGGGAGTGTCTAGAATAGAACTCGAATACCACAATACGAGATGTTGCACACTATGGGAACTATTGTTACAGATTTTACAGACTACTACTGTTCTTGTCTGGCCGCGTACTCCCACGTGGCTTTCACTCGTGTCCCCTTCGAGTCCAAAACTTCTTCTATTCTGTCGTCGCTGTTTCCTCTTTGTCTTTGCGCCCACCATTTGTAAAGAAACTTCCGCTCTTTCTTGTCGCCGCTTTACTTTCATCGTGATCCACGCGAATTTTTTTTTTTATTCCGTTCTTTCTTTTTTCCTCGTGACGAGAAATGGAATGTTTCAATTATTCTTAAGAATAATTAATAATTGTAAGCATGGAAAAACCATTGGAATTTTGAATTCGGCTTGTATCGTTAGATTGCAGGCTTTGTGAATGATGTATTTAAAACAATATGAGGAATAGATGAACGCAATGATCTGAAATATTTATTACTTGTTAGAAAAACGTTTATTATATGTTTAGATTTGTTAGTACGAGGAGAAAATGTACATAAACGAAATGGAATTATATTGTGTAACACAATTATTACTGTTCATAAATAAATTTTACGTAAAATATAAAAACCTTAAATATAAAATATTTAAAAAATACTTCGAAAAAATTTTATTTCGTTCGAAATGAATGTGTATTAAATATTCCGATCCATTGATCCAAATTGATCGATACATCGAAATAGAAAAGCCAATACCGAAAGTGAACGAAAATTGCGTAATTTTCAATTACGGAGACAAGAACGTTTGATTAGCTTGTATTATTCAATATTACATATACTTCTCGTAACCAACATTTAGGGGTCATCAAGGTTGAGCGCGTCGCTGGAGAGCACGTTGAGGTGGAAAGGGTGGTGGTTGTACGCTGTGTCACTCTATATATAACGGCAGTGGGCACCCCACGCGATATTAAGAACGTTCACCGCATCTGCGGTAACATGGTTTCCAGTTACAAGGTATTTACTTACCGTTCGAACTACTTACGGCTCACCGATCAGTGTGGCAACGTGTTCATCGCATCTATCAATTGATTAATATCGAACAACTACAAAGGCTAATTTAATCCAGCGAAATTTAATTACGATATATCTCGCGGGATATATCCGATATATCCATTGTGTATTCCCGGTGATTGTGAATATAGCAGTGCATCGTTTTCACTTTTCAGTGCACAGTTCTCGGTAGTTCTTTGCTGTGCGGTGCTTCGACGTCTCTAATAAAATCAGTTTAAGTGAAAAGTGTCCTAGAGTGATTTTTTGATTCCAGTTCAATACTTTTCCATCTCTCTTTTCCTTTTCTTTTCTTTTTAAAATATTTTTTTATTTGTGAACAATCTTCTTTCTTAGTTTCCTAGAGTGATTTTTTTGATTCCAGTTCAATAATTTTCCATCTCTCTTTTCCTTTTCTTTTCTTTTTAAAATATTTTTTTATTTGTGAACAACCTTCCTTCTTAGTGTTCTAGAGTTTTTTGATTCCAGTTCAATATTTTTCCATCTCTCTTTTCCTTCTCTTTTCTTTTTAAAATATTTTTTTATTTGTGAACAACCTTCTTTTTTTGCCAAGTTACCATCGATCGAAACGATCTTTTTTTTTTTTAAGTCGTTTTTATATACAATATAATAAATGCAAGTGATTAAGAAATTTATATAAATATTCTTTCGTAATTTAAATAATGTTGATCGATGCGACATTAGTTTTTTTATCATTAACTATATTCCAAGCGGTAAAGATTATTGAATTAAACATAAGATGCGCCAATTATATTTAACTCTCTGTTTACAGAGATCAACATCTGCCGCCGTCGAGATGACGCCATGGCTGATGGCAATTTTCTGTCTGGTTACCGCGGGCTGTTCAAACGTCACGGATCAGCAAACATCCGAGACACACCACGATCAACAGGTGGCGATCCTGAAACAGATCAGAAAAGTGAATGAAGACGGCTCTTACACGTACGGTTACGAGGCTGGGGATGGATCTTTCAAGGTAAGATTAAATAGCTTGCACCGTTTAATGCGAAAGGTATGTAATGGGCGTTCTACGTTTCTTAATACTCGAGAGATTTATCGTTGTAACGTAACGCGTTTCATAATTCGAGTAATCTTCTAGCGGAAAGAGGTACTGTTTGAACAAGCAAATTGTGCAATTAAATTGTTAAATTGTTAAATATTGACATCGTTTATATTTTCTAATTGTTGTTGAAATAAAGGAAACAGCTTCTTTGAATAATTTGAACAACTTAATTGGGCAGAATTCTCTCTCGAAACATCGCTAATAGAGCGAATAAAGTAGGTTAAATTTATGCAATAGAAAACATGAAAGTGCTTGGCATAAATTTCGAGTAATACAATAAATCTTACGTTTATACGATTTATTCTTTTAAAATCAAATAATTTATATCCATTTAATATAAATATTTAACGAAATTTTATTTATTGTTAGCGAAAACTTACACACGTAACGTGTCCACGTAAAGAAAAATATTTCGAAATTAATTTCAATTCAATGGAATATTTTTAAAACTTTTCAAATCAACGAGAAATTTGCTGAACGGAAGAAATTATTGTCAGGTCGAGAGCCGTGACGTTTTAGGCAACATCAAGGGTACGTTCGGTTTCGTCGACGCGGATGGTGAAATTAAGAGGGTATCGTACTCTTCCTCTAATGGAACAGGATTTAAAGCAACCACGGTGTCGCCATTACAGGAGCACGTGTCCGTCGTACAAAGCATTCCACGTTTAAATCGTACCACCACGACCAAGAAACCGAACATCGTCTATCCTTCCTCGACCGAGGCATCCACGAAATCGTCGGTGGTTCAATCCATACCGCGAAACAGAAAGACGACGACCACTTCCACGAGCACAACTACGACCACGACGGAACAACCGAAGATGATATTCAGTCATTATCTGAAAGGAACGGGAAAGAACAGACCACGTTTCATTATAAACGGGCAACAGAGGCCACTGATAATCGAAGAAGAAAGCGAAACAGAGGACGAAGATTCCCAGATAAATCGACCAACCACGGATGATAAAACATCCACGTACAGAAAAATCATTTTTGCCAAACGGCCGGTCGATCAAACTTTACGTCCCATCTCCGACGATTTCATGGAGAAAGAGGACGAGACCAAAGTGACGAGTGGGAATAATTTAAGGAGACAGCTCCACGAAGACACCACGAAACCTAATCCAATCGTGGAGGGTAGCAACGACGATCATTCAGACGTTTACGGTGGTTCCTTGTCCACGACTCGGCCCCTGTTCACCACGACCACTCCGCCAAGGGTTCTGCAACGCGTCTCGCCGGCTGGTCGGGTCGAAAAGCCGAAAGTGTACGTCAATCGGGAGAACCTCGCTTCGTCGAGATCGTTCGAAAACGTAAACTCCAGAGCTTTCGAAGCGGAGACGAAAATGCCTCAGGAGGAGCGTGTCTCTCAGCCTCAACCTGTTTTGATCCGCGGCCCCCCGCGCTTGGCGGCGGAAAATCGAGAGTATCTACGCCAGAGCACGGAGCCCATCTTCGTCAGGCAACAACCGGACCAGTTCTTGCGCGAGGTGCCGGGTGGAAGAATCTTAGTTCCCGCTCAGCCGAACATCGAAGAGGATCCCGCTTACAGGCCGCTCTCCATCAATAGGATCTTGTTGCGCCCCCTCCCTAACCAGCAGCCGCTTTACTCCACGACAACGGACGCAAATATTCACTATCTGACGGAGAATCCTGTTCCTCCGGAGCAAGAAGAAGACCCCAGAGTCGCCATGGCGCCGGGCTACATGCGTCCAAGGCCTTTCCCGCGACCCGTCATCTTCCAAGAACCGAGGCCCGTGTTGAGACCCGTCTCGCCACCTGTTAGCCCAGTCGATGAAAGGGAGTATCAAACGACCTCGGAATATCCTTACAGGAGCAGCACGCTAGCCTTACCCCCGGAACCACCGAATCCAATCAACCCGCCTCTGAGCAGACGTGACTTCCAATTACTGTTGAGGAGGTTGCTGGTCAGCCAGTACGGCGTCCAGGCCCTCTCCTATCCGAAAACTTACCTGGAGGACGCACTGTACGACCAGCAACCGTATCCCTCTTATCAGCCAGGCTATCAGACAGTTGCTGCGCCACGATCAGAAATTCCGGGCTACGACCAACAAGTTCCCCTTCAGTACGGCGATCGTGTCCCCGTCAGGCGTCCCGTGTTCACCAGGCCCTTGAGCCCTGTTTATCAACCCCAACAGTACGAAGATTACAACGACGGAGGTCGGTACTCGAAGAGGGTATACAGGCAGAAGTTTTACGCGCAAGAGATCGGTGACGAGGGGGATGAAATATTGCCCGCACCTATCCGAGAAGCATTGTTGTTGAGGATGCTGCAACTGGCGATTAACGCTGAACGGCCGCCTCCCATGCTCACGTCACCGATTATGACCACAACCACGCCTGCTTCGAGGTACAGGAAGACTGGACCGGTTAGGAGCGTGCAGATCATTAGCGACGAGGAGGAGGACGGGAAGGAGACGATGAAGAAGAAGATGTGAATAATTCTATCTCTGATCACTTAGCTCTCGGTGGTTATGAAATCAAAGAATGTTTAAGTTGACGTCGGAATTTAGTTCATTTTTTTTTTTTTTTTTTTTTTATAACGAATACTATTTCGTTTGTAGAATATACGAGGTCACACGTACGAGTGATTTCACGAATTAAATAGGAAGATGTAATTATAATTACGTAGAAAAGTTAATATTTCCTGTAGAATATATATATATATATATATATATATATATATATATTTTTAGGAAATGACACGTGTCACAATTTAAAAATTATCAACGATAATTGATATGAATATTGATGAATAAATTGATAGATTCGAAACATTAAGGGATACTGTAAAAAGTAAACGTAAATTTGTAAGCGAAAAGATTCTCTTAGGTTTGTACAATTTAGACAAAATGTTTCGAAATATATTATTTATTTTTCTGTTATTAAATTATCCCTAAAGACAAAGAATTTTATGAAAAAGAAATTTCGCAATGAACCGTTCTCACACTCGACGTCCCCTTTTTTTTTTACGTTTCCCTTGAGATTATACTTTCATACTCGTTCCAATACTCGTTTGTCAAAAGAATTACAAGGTTATTTATCTTCTTCGACAATTAATTTTCTCGTCCAAAGAAACGTCTTAATTACAGTAGCTGGACACAGAGATGATCCGTTTCCATAACGAGAAGATAGCCGAGAGAAGAGCGTGAGAATGAAGGAAAAGCGGCGTCGATAAGGTCGATCGTGGCGACACAGTTTTCACGGAACAACACGGACCGGTATCGTCAGCGAAACGAATCGACTTCTATGAAAGGGAAAACGTCCCACGTGTGTTCGTCCATACGATTTTCCGCGCGGCAACTTTCAACTATCTCGCAACGACTCGTTCTTGCTTTCGAGTCGAATCGTCGTTACATTTAAGTCGACGAAATGGCGGTGTATATGGTCAATCTAGTACAATTACGTTGATCTTGCATACAGTTGCTGCGTTTACTGTATCTTACTTTGTATGTCACGTAGCGTAGAAATTTCCAAAGAGACGAGCGGAAAGTACTTTAATTTAGCTCAAAAGTATAATTGGATATGTTCAATCGTCATTGTCAATGCGAAGTATCGTTTATTAAATTTAGATTTTAGGTTATTTCTAGATTTTAGAAATATTTCTCTCTTTTTTTTTTTTTTTTNTTTTTTTTTTTTTTTTTTTATTAGTTTGATTCAGTCATTCTTATTTTTGTCCACGATATTCTTGTTGTATTGCAATTTTAAATTTTAAATTTACCGATAATTCAATAACTCGAATTTGAATTTACTTCAATTGAATATTGAACGTATCCAAATTAACGTTCTTCATTCCATATTGTAAATATAATTTTATACGAAATTAGTGTAATATACTTATATCGAAATAAAAACGAGATAGATGATAGATATAAACTATATGGTGTGAAAATTCATTTCATAAGTCTCTGAGAGCCGGCGTACCAGAAAGAATAATAACATGTCTACCTGTTGGTAATTAGCATCGCGGGTTGCGACACTTTGCTGCTGGATACGAGAACTCGTATTTGTTAGACGGTCGCTACACGACAGGAGCGTAGATCATGAGATTTTGCACGTTAGTTTCCACGTACTCTTTTTTTTTTTTTACCTCTTGCCAAATCTCCATAGAAATACATCGCACAAACTTCACGAATATTTTTTTGATTTTTGCAAAAGAATATACAATCGAATCAGTTTTAAAACGGATTCAAAAAATTTTCGATTTACATACATGAATGATATCAATATTTGATATTCGAGAATTATTATGACAATGTCTTTCTTCGTCCCAGAGATAAATCATCGATAAATTAATCCGTGCACGAATTCGAAAAAATTTCACTTCACTTAAGAATTAAATAACATTCGACAAATATCGTGAAATTGATATCGATTACAATAACTGGGTATTTATCGAGAAATAGAACGGAAACGGATAGTTTAACGGTAATGGAGGAAAGAATTTTTTTCATGGCAGGCAACCTTTCGGTTTTTCTGCTGGGACCGGATGCACGCGTGAAAGGTTGTCGTTAAGAAACGAGGAGGTATTCGCCAACTGGACCGTGTTCCTATAGTTTGCAACTGTGTGACTTCCGGTATCCTGTGAACAGTGCCAATAACGAGCGTATTTTTTAATATGGACCACCTAGGTAAATAAGAAGAGTTGGAGGTCGTTTCCATCCAATATAATTGGAGCAACAAGTTCTTTTCATCCACTTTCCTCGTCGTTTGTAATGGAAAGTTGTAAAAGATATACACACTTAAGATGGATTCATTGTCTTGTCGTATGTATGTATCCGTGCACGATACATATTCACGATCGGCAAAGAAACACGGAGACAAAGAGAAAGAAAGGGGAATTCGCAGGGATATGATACGATCTCGATACGTTTGGGTAACAATCGTGTAGTAAAATATCACGAGAGAGAGCTATATTCTATACAACTTACTTTACTTTTGACGCTTTTTACGCAAGCGTATTTATCGCGCTAACATAAAAGTGAATAATTAATAAGGTAATAACGCGAAATCGATCAAATTTCTAATTTATTTCAATCCATTGTTTTAATATTCGAATATCTTGAGAATATTTAAGAAAGATAAAATCGTCCAATTTCTTAAAACTTAAGCGCCTAAAATTGGGAAAAATTTTTCGATAAAGTAGATCGGTTTCGCTTCTGAATATATGACTAGCGTCACACAACCGTTTGACTCCAAAAAGTGAAACAATAGACGTGAAAGGAATGTGCAACGTACACGTATAATTAAACTTAAACAATTTGCATAAACGTCCGCAGTCGCTTAAAACTTTAAAATAACTCCTCGATATTTTGTACAAATATTAACGAAATATGAAATATAATCCTTACATACAAAAAAGAAAAAAAAAATACTGAACTGAATATCGAAATTCTCACGTATGACCGTGAATCTAGGTGGACGCCTGCGAAACTTCCGAGTGGACCGAGGCGGAACGAGGCACGTTTCTCGCGCCTTCGGCGTCCTCCTCGAGCGGATAAGGATTGAAAGGTTCCGTTTGCACCGCCACGTCCTCGTAATCGAGCTCCAACGCGTCTTGCTCGTAAATTGCATCGTGACTCCGTGGCCGTGCCACGGAAGGTATCCACGGTTGCGGCGTGCCTTTTCCAAGCGCCAAGAAAACCGCGGCAGTCGTTAACAGAACGACGGAGGCGACACCGAACACCAGTCGCCACGAGCCGGCTATCTAAAATAAAAAAAAAAAAAAATTGTTCTTCTTTACCGTAATGAAGATTGATGGAAAAATGTAAAATATTCCAACGAATACGTGGTTAAATTATTAAGTGATTCTACTCGAGTGATTTCGCGGTTGAAGAAGAAAGGGGAAAAAGGAAAAAAAAACGAAATGTAATAGGATTTTAATTGGAGGATAGTTTGAATACTTACACTTGGTAACCGACAGTTAATGGGCTGTAAGGAAGTTAGAATTGGAGGATCGTTAAAATTGTTATTGCGGTTTCGTTAACATAAACAAGCGTGAAAGGTTTAATGTTTCCTGTGGTATTTTTACCACAGAGAGAGTCTTGCAAGAGGAAGCCAGATGTTAAAACGGAGATTGGAACACGTCTGTCTAATAATAATAAATATGAATCGTGTATATGAATTGAGAAAAATTTTACCATCAAATTATCAACTTACAGAGCCATGAAGAGCTTGGGTGACAAAGTAATTAGCGGCCAATAGACCTGCCGCGCCTAAAGTCGAGCACAATGCACACGCAGCCGCTGCACAGGCTGGAGATTCTACAGGAGCTAGGTCAGCTATGGCCGCCAAAGCTCCTGCTGGTGCGGTGCCAGATACGAGAAGGGCGGCTATCCCTAACCAGGCTGCCCCTAATGCCTGGCAACCAGCGTAACCAGCGACGAAAAGTAGGGCAGCTGGTATAAAATGAGCTGCGAAAAACAGAACGAATCAATTTATTTTCTGATAAAAATCTAATTCGATGAAATTAAGAAATGGATAGCTGTTCATGATGATTAATAAATTGATTGATTAATGAATACGTACCAGTATAAACGACCAATTTTCTTGCCGTGGTCGTAGAAACTATTTTCGATTCACGAACGTGATCCACGAGAAGACCACATGTTAAAGCAGCCATGAAATGTCCGATGTGAGGTAACGTCGTCAGAACAGAATCCTTGAAATCATTGAAAGATAAACATTTATTTTGCAGGATAAAACGAAGGATCGAATGTGTTTTAATTTGTTTATACGTATATATCGTTGAAAAATATTCACATTGGCCGTTGAGAATCCATAAATGAGCTTCAGATATTTCGTCATACCAAGAGCGAGAGTTGCATCGCCCCATTGATTTCCCATCGTTGCCACTGCGGATGCCCAAACAGGAACGGATCGCAGTAATTTCCCCCATGGAATCACAGCTGCCTATTTATTTCATATTCAAATGTTTCTTTTTTTTTAATATAATTTTTTTTTTCGTTATTTAGTAATTTAACATTTAGCGCGGAAATAATTCATTTTACATAACGCTTCATTAATCTTTTAAAACAATGGTATTAGGATTATTAGCATTGTAATATTCGTAGAACATTAGCTTCTCTCTATGATTCGTAATAACAATCTGAATTAAATACTGTCAAAAAAAGGATACAAAAAGAAAATCGTTCATTTAAAGTAGATAAAGAGAAAATTTGATCTTACATTTGTATCGTGCTGGTAGGACTTTGGTGTGTCTTTAACGAATCGACCAAAAGAGAAGTACCAACATAGTGCAATGCAAACGAGACCATAACAAAGCGAATCTCGTCCAAAACTTCGGACGACGGCTGTTCCTATCCATCCTGTGAGACAGTATCCAACACTGACAGCTGTTAACAAACGTAATATTTATTATTATTATTAATATCGTTATAGAGATATATAATTATATATATATATATCTAGACCTCGATATTAAAATTAATAAAAATTTACCAGCGTAACAACTGAAGTACCAACTTCTATGAGTGCTCTTAAACCAAGTCATAGCGAGCATGTGAGCAGCAGGCATAGTTGCACCCTGTAAGTGAGAAATCATCAGTGATTAACGATTTCTCTATTATCCTATAATATTTTTATCTTTATTTATTTCTAAAATTATATTATGCACATTATAACTTCCATGATATTCTTTCGTTTAATTCTTACTGTACATAATCCCTGAAACAGACGAAGCGCTACATGGGACGGGCCTCTCCATGCAGCTGGCACCAATAAAGATGCCAAGCAAGCACTAAGAACAGCACGTGAGAACACCATAGATGGCCCTGATCTTCCCCATACTAAACATCCTCCTAAAATCGGACCTGCCACTTGTCCCCACAAAAACGCTTCTCTCATTATAGATTCTGCACGTTCTTCGGGTGGTAACTGCAAAGTATTCATTCCTTTTTCTAAAAAAAAAGTGTTCCTCGGCAAAGTATATAAAAAATATTTAATACATTTACCTCCATTAATATAACTTCAAAGTCTTCGGTGCGGTTACGACTACTGATGTTGACCAGCATTTCACAATGCCACGATGTGTCAATGATGGCATGATTGTCTTTTTGATTGGCAAGTAATGCAACCGAGGAGCTCACCTCCACCGCGCCACAAAGTGCAAATCCAACTGCAACAAGCGCAGCAACGATGTGTCGCGCTCGTACAGCCGCTAATCAATTATTAAACAAGAATATTTGATAAACTTTACCATAAAAATTATTATTATTATTATTTTATTAGAAAAAATTATAATATTCGAAAATATTTTATTATATAAGTTATTATAGATATTTATATAAAGTTTCAGACGATGTCTAGATGTGATATTTTTAAATTAGTACATTCTATTCTCAAAATAATTTTAATTCTTTTTATCGTATTATCAGGCGACAGCAAGCAACTGTTATGCACGTTGTATACATATATTATCAGCGCTATTATACATCGTCTCTAACTGTTTGTTTTTGATAAATTGATTAAACAATAGATTTCATAATTTCGGTTTTTAATTCAGAGTTAAGGAAATATTTTCTAATTATCCATTGTATAATATCAATTTATCGTATATTTATCAATTATCATAACAAATTTGGAAGAACATGCGTTTTTTCTTTTGCAAAATAATATTAATATTTTTTATAGAGAAAAATATCATAAATTCAACGTTAATTATAATAAAAATATGAAATGAGAATGGATTGATTTTTCATTCGATATAGAGTATTGTACAAATTGATGATAATTAGCGTCTATTTTTATTAAGATTATCGATAAAATATTCAATTTATTATTTATTTATTACTTTAAATCGTATTTATCTTACGTATTTATCTATTTAATTGGACGAACCTCGAACTTCGTATGCGGCTTGCTTTATCTGAACACTGCTACGTTTCACCAACTGCACTCTACCTCTTTTAACGAACTCTTCCATCTCACGATAGTCGAAAGGAGCAAAATCGACGTGTGCATACCTCTTTTATCGTACGATTCTATCCCTATTATCTCATTACTATTCCGTGCAATGCAAACGACCTCGACTTTGGTTTCCTTAAAACGTAGTACAAATAATGATTCTTAAAAAATAACAAATATCCGATGATAAGAAATTTCCTTCTTCATTTTTCATTCGTATACTTTATAAAGTGAAGATAGAATAAAAAATTCCGTGTACATCTCGAGTAGGAAAACAGGAAAAAATTATGTATTATTTGAGATACGCAATTAATAATCTAATATACAATCATAAATCTCCAAGTTTTAATCACCACGAGTCTAATACAATATTTATTTATTATCTTATTACTTTATTAAGTATTGGCATATATCACAAACTTGTTCTCTGGTTTAAACAAATACTCTTATAATAACAACATATATTTTAAATTACAAATATGTAATTACATGTAATGCTATGTTTAAATAACTATTTCAACCCTATCATTATATCGTGTAACTTTTTTTATAGCTTCTGCTACCCGATCTAAATAATCATGTCCTGTCAAATTAATATCTCCTCGAGAAAGATTTTCCCCTTTACCTTTCATTTCAAGCGCCGCATGTCTCAACTGGACGCTCCCACGTTTAAGACGAACGAGCGCTGCCATATTTATCACACGTGTCGATGCACGACAGTTCGAGTTTTCATTACGCGACAATTACACAGATTTATGCACATTTTACGATCGTAGAAAGAAACGCACCGATCTCTCACCGACACCTCCGTGTCGCTCCGTGACACGGGTCAATACGGCCGCCTCGTGTTCCACGAACCGTACTTGTCATCCGTGAGCGCGAGTGAATGAACATCTCCCGTTAACGAGACTTGATACAATAAGTACCTATACCAGGTCAGCCTTGAAACACCGTTTGATGCCCGCTCCGTGATATTTTCACGTCCGTGCCACAAAACGATATCGCACACCCAAGGATTTTATACGTGATAACGATCAAATTCCTTAATTTCGTTATCAGAAATCTGTGAAATATCAAACGAATCAAACGAGATATTTAAATTGTTTTATTTTTTGCGATAACGTGCTTGCTCAAAAGACACGCTTTGAAATCTTCGTTTCATTTGGAAGAGAGCGAAGAAAGTATTGTAGATTTAGTATTACACAATGTAATTACACAATGTTTAATTATGATGTTATTGACTGATTATATTGTAGAAGAATATGTAGAATAGATTAAACGAGCAGATATTATTCTATATTAATTATATCATCTATACATTTAAGTTTTTGGATACAGCGAGTATAGTTTTAATTATTGGTTCTCTTTTTTTCTTTTTCGTTATTTATTTATTTTTTTTTTTTTTTGGTGGAATCTTCTTCTTTTAATTGTTGATTCTACTCCTATGTTTACGTTCGTTTCTGTACAGTTTAGCACAGACGCATTCATACTTCTTCGTTTCTTAAATGCTATACTTCTCAAAAAGAAGAGATTGAAGAAAAATATGTAGGTTTATTAAAAAATAACACTTATACAATAAATACGATTATTCGTGTCGAGATACTTATCGTTCGTAGATAATATCGTGGCACTCGATAATTCAACAGCTTTCCATCCGTTAGTAACGATGAATAGAAAAGATTCTAAGATCACTGTGATGTATCAATTGATTTCTTTCACTATTAGTAATTCAGAAAATTGATTATATGAAATCATAAGATGATAAGTCTATTTTCTACTTTGTCCATCATTTTTCCTATATGTAAGATATTAGAAAAATTTGTTAAATATTTTAAATATTTATTAAATTGTATTTTTCGATTTATCAATAAAATATAATAAATTTTGAATATTGATTAAAATTTCGTGCTAAATTTTAAAACACGTTTCATCTACTTGAATAAAAAAATATTTAAAATATTCAGTGTTCAAATTTTTTTTTTACCCGTAACATATAACTTAACCCCTTATATATTAATCTATAAAAAAAATCACCGATAAAATGGACAAATAATTTATAATTACAATTTTTACAAATACATGTATTTAGGCCTTGACACTTCTAATTCTAACAACTAATATTCAATTACATAATGATATGCAATAATTCTTCACCAGGAACTTACACGTGGAAAAAATTATGTCATCAAATGCCATGGGTATTTTTTACATAAATAGAAATAATAGTTGTTTAAATAATTTAACAAAAACTTATATTAAGTTTCTAATTTAATATAATCGAAATTAAATATAAACTATGTTATCTTTGTATAATCTTGTATAAAATTTTTTTTCTTTTTAACCTCTAAATTAAGAAAACATTGACAATTGATATATATAGATTTATTCTTTAATACGTAGATGATAAACTTCGAAGATCAATATATATCAGACGAACAAATAAAGGCAGCATATCAAAACACGCGTCTCGAACATAACATAAACCTTAATATCAATTCCAGTCCCAAGCTAGCAAGACTTACTCGTATTATGGTTACATTGGGTAAATAAGTAATTGTATTCAATTTTCCAATTATGAAAAATAAAGAAATAATTAAACTAGAAATATTTTAAAAAAACAAAAATCATAAATTATTAGTTATATCAATATCACTTATTACAATACTCGAGATAATTGTATCACCGATTTCTAAATATTCTGTATATCACGCAAATTACATGTATTATTTAATTTAGGTAGAAGGAATTCTCATCCTGAAGCTGTCGTTAGCATAATGATGGCTGGTGCAAATATAGTTCGTTTGAACATGGCGCATGAAACGGATAAGTGGCATACAGCCACAGTACAATCTATCAGAAAAGCGGGAAATACGATGTACGAATTCACGAGCGAAATATATCCCTTAGGAGTCGCAATAAATCTTCAGGGTCCTGAAATAAGGGCTGGTGCATTCCGCAGCGATAAAACAAGCTTAGTACGATATTAATCAGAATTAAATTCATATTAGTTTTAATTATTAATTAATATTTATCTTATAATTTTAAAATAAATCTACCACTTTTATATATTTTCTAATAAAAAATAATTTTTAAATAAATATATATATACTGAAGTAATATGCTGATCAAAATTTTACCGGAATTACGAAATGAAATGTGTATCTATCGAATATTTATATTTACAGGGTTATGCCAAATTAAAAGAGGGTAAAATGGTAAAATTGGTAACGCAGGATATTGCAAAACGTGCAGGATGTGCAACCTGTTTTTGGGTTTCTTATCCTAATTTACCTAGGATATGTCAAGTAGGAGATAGAATATTAATCGATAGAGGAGCCGTTTTATTACAAGTCACTTGCATCCGTTAGTTCTTTTTATGTTGGATATAAAACATCGATTGCAAAAAAAAAATATACGTGATATTTTTTAATACGATGTATTTCTCGAGAAAATATTTGACACGGTATTTTTCTTTTTAAATATCGATATTCATGCTTTCAAGAGATGAAAATAGCTTTCAAGATTTTTAAAATTGGAAAAATATTATAGACAAAATGATTTCTTTTTCGCTTTCGATTCAATTGTTAATGAAAATAAAAATTCTTTCAATACAGACGAGCAAGCTATAACTTGTAAGATTATCAAAGGTGGTATTATAAAAGATGGCAAGCTGATACAATTATTGGACAGTTTAGTTCCATTACCACAAATTTCGGAAAAGGATATTGCACACATAAAATGGGCTTCGCATTTAGAATGTGATTTTCTTATAATAAATCACGTGCGTAACGAGAAAGTATTGTACACTATTAAAAGTCGCTTCAAGCAAATGAGTATGCGTATAATCTGTATATTATTTAAACTAATTAATACACAATGAATAAATTAATCAATTTTATTTAAAGATATTACTAGAATTTGCGTTATAGCAAAAATCTCGTCTCAACAAGGTTTGGAAAATTTAGACGAAATTTTGAATGCAGCTGATGCTATTCTCCTCGACAGAAAAGGTATTGAAGTAGAAGTAGGAGATAAAAAACTGTTTTTAGTTGAAAAAATAATTATCGCAAAATGTATAAAAGTAAGTTTATCATAAGAAAATATTTATAATATTTATATATATATAAAAAAATACAACTTTCTAACATTCACAAATTTACTTTTTTTAATTTTTTCTTCAGATGGGAAAACCAATCATATTATCATTCGAAGTATGTGACGAAAATGATAAAATAAATATCAATATGAATTTAATTGCAAATGCTGTTTTGAATGGAATAGACGCGATTTTTCTTAAAACTGGTTCTTTGAACATGTTTGACACTTCTCAATTGATAAAAGATATCGATATCGTATGTAGAGAAGCTGAGTGTGCTCGATGGCAAAAAGAAATTTTCGATGAATTAAGTTACAAGGTAGAAAAACTTTTCGAGTATCGAATCTTCTTATGTCATAATTTATGATAACACATTTTTTTTTATTCAGGTACCAATACCTATAGACCCTTTACACTCGATCATAGTTGGTGCTGTTAACATATCCTTAAAATCGAATGCAGCAGCAATTATCGTTACTACAACAACAGGAAGAAGTGCTGTTTTGTTATCAATGTATCGTCCTAGATGTCCAATTCTCGCAGTTACTCGATATGGAGTAGTCGCAAGATGGTTAATGCTCTATTTCGGTATCCATTCTCTTCATTACAAAGGTGAATATATATTTATTCCTAAAAAAAAAAAAAAAATTCTTATTTACAAATCAATATATTCTCTATTTTATAAAAATTGTAATAAGTTTTAACGTAGTTTAAATGTAATTTAGAGGAAAGTTTATCAGATTGGAGTAAAGACATACAAACTCGGATACAAACTGGTATCGATTCTCTCAGAAAAAAAAAGTACATTAAGGTCGGTGATGCAGTCGTGATTATTAGTGGATGGCGTCAAGGTACAGGATTTACTAATTGTGTTCGTATAGTTTACGTATCACCTGGATGCAGAAAGGATCAAGTCCCAGATTTGGAGTCTTGCTGGTGAAATATAAATATCTTTTCTTTTTCATTTTTTGCACAAAAAAATAACATAATTGTACGATAATAAAATGGAATTGAATTTTGTCATTTTTAAAACAAGTAATGAAATATCTGTAATTATCACTTTAATTATTTCTATTATAACAAACTTTTATATTTTATTTTATCAGATTATTGATTTAAATTTTTAACTTTCGTTCATATAACTTTCAATAATTATTTACATATGTAAAAATCTTCGATAATTATTTATAAAAATCATATAATATATCTATAATATTAAAAGAATTACACGATAAATTCATGGATAAATTATAATTCTTGAAACAGATGTATAAATATCTAAAGCCAATATTGAAGTAATAGAAATCGTATCGAGAGATAAGGTATAATATAACATTTGTATAAAATATACATACGTATATAAAAATAAATATAGTTATATGCATACTAAAAATACGATTAAATAATGATAATTAATAATTTATGAAAAAGATTGATTGAAAAGATTGATAACATATATATTCATTTCCAATTATTTCTTTAAGCCTGACAATTGAAAACTGACACTTTGCCTACCATTAGTAACTATTTATAAACATATGTTTTAATATATGATATTAAAAATAAGTATAAATTAATAAAATAAACATTTATCTTATTGTTTTTTCTTCTATCCTTTGTTCCTTTACATATTCGAAATTTATTTATTTTTCACCGTCATCAATGTCTATTGTTACGTTATGTGGTTCAATTAAGTTAGCTACTACTACTAGTATATATGTTTATTCAGACATTAACAGCCAAGATGTTCAAGAGGACATTAACATTAATGTCAGAATGTAATTTTATACGCTCTTGTATTCTATATACACATATCATGCTCAATTATTGATTTTTTTGTCAGCTATTTGTCTTTATAAAAAAAGAAATATATATATAGATATTTATTAATATATATATAATAATTTAAATGTAATTTCATATAAAAATAAATATATCTTAATTTATAAAATCTTTTTCATGAAAAATAGCTGGAATCGTTAATATCGAGCAAAAAACTAAGAAAAGCAAAAATTTTACTTCACTGTACTATAAGTATGTCACACATTTGTACTCTAACGGCTAATCAAGTAGTCCTTTCTAAGATCATTCATTCATTGGCTATGATTGAAACGTAATTGAATCCCTACTGAGAATAGGGTCGAAGATTTGTTCCTTATTCATCAAATCTCGGCAACTTGAATCTTACATATAAGATGATATATAAGGTGGAAAAGTCATCTTTGATATTGCGACGCAATTGTATACTCTAGATTCCAATAATTTACGCTATTTCAATAATACTTCAAATGAAGCTTCTAATGCTTCATACTTCATATTACTACATACTAATACTACATATTAATGGTAGTAACATATAACGCTCTCAATGTTCAAGATATCTTCATCTCGAAAACCTTCCATTTCTACAATAGGAATGCTTCGTACAAAAGCAAAAATTCTTGAATCCTTGAATCCTTGAATCATAGTAATCATATTTTCATTAATTATGCTGTAATTCTTCGATATTATACAAATAATTTTATATAAAGTTATCTTTAGTGATAAATATAAATACAAATATAAATTATTTAAAACTTCAAAAGGAAATTAAAATTGCAAATATGAATTTGCATTATATCTTTAAAGGAATAAAATTACAAAAATAAAATTCTGAAATTTATCTTTAACTTCGTACAAGTTAAACTATCAATAAAATTCGGAAAACTAATTGAATCCTGAAGATTGATCAAAATTTTACAATTTTAAATGTGTAATCGTCCTCGATTTCTTGATTTCTGTTGGTCTAGAAAAATCAAAAAATTACACAAATCGATCGTAAAAAAAACTACCGAAGAGCTATGACTTTTGTAAGATTGTGAAGAAATTTGTAAACAGCTTCGTGTCCGAGAAAAAGGATGCGGAAAATCAGAGGAGGAAGAACGCTTGCGCTAAGGGACCACGTGCTCGTATTCAAACAGCCACCTGTGCTTTTGCGCTTATATTCTCCCCCTTCAAACGATCCCAACTCGTATATATACGAGGACACCCTTGGTACTGTTTCATTTCTCATCGTTACTGTCGTATCGACGAATATCCTTGATTTTCAACACAGCGCTTCGATTCAAAATTTTCTTCGATTTCTAAAATATTTTCGACTCCTCTTTATCTTAATCGGTGAGTTTAGAAAATTTTCTTGCATTTAAATTTGATGCAATCGATTATAATTTGAATTTGTATATTTTTATTAAAAGGTAATTTTAAAGTTTAATTTTTATGTGATTTTATGTAGTAATTATATTACTTTTTATTAATCATTCTTTTATTATCTATTTTATTTTAATTTGCTTATACATTTTCGTGATAATGTTATTTTTTATATTTTTCGTTTTAAAGCTACAGCAAAAGTAGAAATTTTAAAGATTTGTAAAATATGTGAATTTAATCATATATTTTTATAATTTTTAATTTTATTAATTAAATATAGATTCGATAAGTAATTCACTTCTTCGTCAATTTATTAGCTTATGATGTTTATCGAATATTTTTTCTAACGAATGAATATGGAGGAAAAAGAGAGATAAAACATCTTTATTTATCTTCATTAATGTTTTACTATAATTTAATTCAATCTGATTGAAAATTAAATAAAAATGATGAAATATTATCCCAATAAAATTGTATCTATATTTATAATACATATTGTACATGTTGTATCTATGTCCTTTTTATTCTATCTAATATATTTTCATTTTTCAAGATAAGTATTATAATGTTTTAAGTTCCACATATTTTTTATTTTTTAAATTAGAAAATTCGTACAAACTTTGTAAAAATTTAAAAACGATCAAAGACAATTTATTTTAAATAGTCAAATACAATAATTGACTATAATACAATAATTTAATAAGAACACATAAATATATAAAAAATGATTTTATATAACAAAATTATATAACAAAAATATATAATATTTTCTTCAAATTATTTTATGAACAAAAGTTCATAATTTCTATTGCAACTCTGTTGTTTCGAAATTTATTTATACATTTTTCTAAATAATAAATTATTTCAAGGCTTCATTGTCAAGTTTATAGAAATATAATTATTTCTTGTAACATTTATAATTAAATAATATACGAATTTTTTAAATGTTGTTTATTGCTATCCAATTAATATATACACAACAGTCATGCAAAACACAAAGTTAAATGATTTTAAATTATATAAATTTGATTTAGTTTAATACATGCCATATAAATTCAGTTGTATACCATATAATTTTCTTGAAGAATTTATAAAATAATAGACTCAAATTTACATATTTTCTATTTATATGTAAATTATATTTTTATGATATTCAATTACAGTCCAAATTGTTATATTTTCTTTAATTCTTTTAATTTTAATTTTTAAATAACAAACAATTCCGTAACAAATTAATTTCATTAATTTGTAATTTTCTTTGTAAAAAATAATACGAACAATATTATCTGAGCCATAGATTATTTTAATTTCTTCTCTCATCTGAAGAATAGTTTCTTAAATAAGTGAATAAATTCCTTTAATATATTTTCTCTTTTTTTTTTATTTTTTAAAATTGAAATACGACTATTATTAAATAATGTATAAACATATTAGTATTGATACTTCTGTTTTTAATTGGCTTAGAAATTGGCGGAAGAAAAACTGAAAGCTTTTTTTAAAATAATACGTTTCCCAGAGAAAGGAATTATTAATGGTCCTTTAATCGTTTTAAGTAAAATTTCTTTGTAACTACGTCATGTTGTTGGTCTAAAAATATTTTTACCCAATCGATAACTCAAGTATTTTCCTACGAATAATTTATCGACGAAATGCCTTGAGAAAGTACAAAATTTTAGACAAGCTTTTTTTTTTTTAATACTTGAACAGCAGACACATTGTTTATCGATGTTTAAGTTTCAGCGATATAAATGTTCCATTTACAAGAAACGAATAATGTCTATTTCTAAGAAAACTACTCCAATATTTTTTAAATAATTCTTTCACTCTTGTGGATTACTTAATTTATAAAAAAAAATGTATATACATTTGTACAACATTTGTACAACATCAAAAAAAATTTTTAAAAATAAAAGTTTCTTTAAAGTTCAAAAAGAAGTTCAGACAAATATACAAGAGAAAATTATGGATGCATATTTATTTCAGCTGTAAGTTAAACTAATGGCTATCAGCTGCAATTTATTCTCGTAGACAAGAAATAAATGATTGTTCAATTCTTTCTATAATATTTCTTCTATAATGTAAAAGTTTAATCTCAGTTTTAAAGAATCGTTTATTATAAACTTTTAAAACGAAATTAAATCGAAACGAAATTAATATGTTTATAATTCAAAAAGAAGAAATAAAATATTTCATTTTTGTATCGATACAAGCATTAACATAGCCACATTATTGCATATATTTTAATAGAATTCGTTCCATTAGCGATGATAGCAGAGCATGTTTTCCGTACTATCTTGATAACGACGTGAATATTTTACCGATCATATTATCGTATATCATTTAAATCAATAACATTATGATATTTGATATTAAATCGATGAAAATTGATAAAATTATTTTTCATCAATTAATAAAATATCTCGCAATCTTTTTTATTTCATTTTTTTTCTTAATTAAAAAATTTAGAATTTTTTAATTTAATTAGAAATGCAAAAAAATGTGAGAGAAATGGATTTATCAAAACCAAGCATATACAAATATATATTATTTCTAAAATGATTTATAGAAATTGCAATTGGATTATAGGATAGACTCAATATGCAGTATAATAGTTAAATAATATGATAAGTTAGTGACATTTAAATTCAATGTGCATACAGTTAGTACTGATAAAGAATATATAGAAGGAATTATAAGCATACGTCATTCTAGTAATGAATTTTAACTAATATTTCAAAATCAATGTCAAATTATAGAGTTTTTCATTTTTAATACACTGCTTAATTGAAAATTTGCATGAATTTTTATATTGCAATATATGAATTTTTATATGCAATAATATTTACCGATTAGTTTATTCAAAATATAATTTAACTGGTGTACATCGATTTAGAAATTTAATATCTTCATTTCATTTTCAGAAAATTTGATAAGATGCCAATCAAGTTCTATTTAAAATCAATCTTATTGTTTATCATTGTTGGCTTCGTTGTTGGTACTGAAAACTACATAGATTACTCAGGTATGTAAAAAGAATTTGTATTTCTATTTTTTTGAATATTTATTTAATATATTTAATTACACATTTATTGAATACAACATAATTTGCTTGTAACTTAAGTAAAATAAATAGCAATTTAAGCATCATATGTTGTTAAGAAATGCTTCAGGATAATAAGGCATATATTTAAATTCCTTACAATTCTTATTTATTTTATTTATCTTACATGATCTTATTTTTTTCAAAAGTAAAAAATTCCTACTAATCTTTAAGATTGTAATGATTATATTAAAAAATAATCAATCTGCAATTTGAACACATTCAATAATATTTAAATACTTTCTTCTTGATGACTTGATAAGAAGAAATAAACAAAAATTTTCATTGGCAAAATTTGTAATATCTTTATAGATGAAATACCAGAAAAAATGCCAATAGAAAATATTCACGAGTTTTATAGACTTCTGATGCAACGCAATGCTTTAGAAAATGCTAGACTTAGCGAAACTCCATTGGAACATTTAATGATCCGTAAATCTCAGCGATCACCTTCATTGCGCTTACGTTTTGGACGTTCTGATCCTCATTTATCTGTAAGTACGAATAGATATTTATTTCTAAATAATTGTCATTTAGATTTTTGAAAGTCTAGAACAGAATTGAGATTTAATCGTAATAAAATTTTTATAATATTCATATTTTTCAGATTGGAATTCTGTCAAAACCAATAAGTGCTATTCCATCATCCAAATTCGATGATAAATGAAAAAAAATGATTCATTTTCCTTTTTTTTCCTCCTCCTACGTGTATAAAAATCCACTATTTATATTATATAATTATTAAAAATTAAAAATTGTACTTATTTTACATTATTAATGTTTTACAATGATGAAAATATATATTTTCTTTTCCTCTTATCCCTATTATTCTTTATAATTATTCTGTGTTATATAAATTAATGTATATACATATTATATAAGAATTATTTTTAATAACACGATTTATCGATCAATAAAAACATCTTACATGTTTTTTATATTTTCCTATATGCTGAACGCATTTTTTAATTGCTTTAAAAAATTTTATAATGAAAATATGATAATATATATAATAATAGTGTGTTTGAAAAAAATTATTAATTGAAATCAAATAATAAAGAAATATAAAAAAAAAAATCAATTAAATCTTTATTAATAATATTTTTCCAGAAATACAGCTATTGTGTAATTTATCTTAAACTGGATTAAACTTTATTAAAACTAAGAAAATTTCAAACTATTATAACTTCGAAGATAATGATTTTCGATTAATGAATGAACGATCATTAGAAGTGCAGAACCTTCCTCTTTAAAATGCTTTTTGATTTATCTCAATATCATTTCTGGTTTCCGAGTAATTATTGTGTAAAGGAAAAGATAATTTTTAGTCGTTTATTATCTTCATCTTTATTTACTCTCTCGTCTTTTTGACCTATCCCAATTTCCAGACAAATGACAGACCCGATTCCTAGAAAAACATAGTACGCAAATGTAGTATGTATTTCCAAGAAAAGATATAGGTCACGTGGTCGCAGATCCATTCATAATTTCCGTACTGTGTACTGTGTTAAATGCTATGAAAATGTTGAGTCCTTATATCTCAATAACTATTTGATTTATTAGGATAATTCAAAAAATGAAATAAATGATACAATTTCCTTTATTTTCTGACTCTTAATGAAGAAAAAGTTTCTATTTTTTTTTTATGTTTTTTATATGAAAAGTTGAAGTTTCGTTCGCGATTATAATAATCTTTTTAAAATACTTCTTTTGCATAACTTTATTTACATAATATTATATTTAAATATATATTTAATGCAGATATACATTAAATTATATAAAAAAATTGTACAAGCAAAATATTAATTTTGGAATTAATTTATTTTCTGTTAATTTTTTTATAATTTAAAAGTATTATTTAAAGTGTGCTGTCTTTGTAGAAGAACAAAGTTTCTTAAGTAAATACACTGCTTCCCTATTTTCATTAGTCAATTCACCGATATTTTTAAATTCTGGTCGTGATAATATTTGACTTCGTGCATGCTCCACAGTTATAGAAAGAGGCATTGTTAAAATTTTTCGCCAATTCGTTTTTTCGTATTGGATTAGAAACTGGAAATAAAATAATATTATATTTTTTAAATATATATTAATATTATCTATTATAATTATTTTAATTAATTATAATTATTATCCTATATAATTATATCAATTTTACTGACTTGATCAAATGCAGTATCTTCAATATGGAACATTATATGAGTTAATGGTTTAAAAAGAGGTGTAATTTCAGGTATATCGTCCTTAAGTCTGTCGACATTATTTTGCCTTAAATTATTCAATATTAAATCCGAAGCATGAATTAAAAATTCATGAACCACCTAATATAATATCACGTTAAACTCAATTTTTAAATTATTAGATTAAAATTTTTTTAAAATAATAATTTATAATATATAATATATATCTTTATTACCTTCAGAGCTTGACGTCCCGAACTGATAAACAATAATTCATCGGTATATATTTCAATAATAGAAGACATATTTGTTTCATCAATACACGAATTTGTATTCAATGTTTGCACACTAAAAAATAATAAACAAATAAATAAACATTAATTCCAATAAATATGCATACATGATTTATAATTTTAGGTAAAATTTTTATCCTTAATAATCTTACTTTTTTTTTACAAGTTGAAAGAAATCATCAATTTGTGCAGTATGCTTGTTATCTTCATCTATACTACAAATAGCTTCAGCTAAAGTAGTCACAGTTGCTGATATATCATTAGAATTAAAAATATTTAATTCACAGTCTTTAGATGTTGAATTATCTTCTATTTTTACTTCACAATTTTTTGAGAATTCAATAAGAGCGGTATAAAGAGATGCACACAAAACATGAAGAAGAACATTTCCACCAATTGGATGACAATGAGCAGGAATATTATCATTTAACGCGAGTACAGTTTTCAAAATTGCAAGTGGTAACGTTACATATAACTCAGTGAAACAGCCAATCACTAGTGACATTGCTTGATACATACTAGCTCCTGTCTGAAAATTATTATATTATTTCATTGAATATTTTTTTAAATTTTTAAGTATATAATTGAAACTTAGATTAAATCTTAAATATTATCTATTTTAATTTATATAATGTAAATATATAAGATATTTTAAAACGAAAATTAATTAATTTAGAAATCATCTCAATTTTGTTATATAAATATACAGTTATAATCGATAACTTACTTTTACAGCTTTTAAAAGTATTTCAATAATTGGTTGCATCATATTCTTTAATGGATTTAAAATTGCATTTAACCAAGGAGGTCTTGATTGGTTCCAAACCTAGAAAAATATGTTCATTTAATATTTTCAAATATTCTTATTCACTTACTTTTAAAAAACAAATACCTGTTGTCGATCAAGATAATTAGACCACTCAGAATTTTGTTTTAAAGCTGGTATAATAACATAACCAGGATCTTGTGCTGTATATGTTAAAATGTACATTAAACTATAAAGACTCAATGCTGATGTTATTTTCATCGATGGATTGCACATTGCACCACTACATAAAAAACCACCGCAATTCTCTTTATCGAATTTCAATTTCTTGAAATTTTCAAATTCGTTTTCACATGTAAAATTACCACATTTATAAATGAGAGTATTTAATAATATTTTGGCTACTGCACAATTGTTCATAAAAATTATCTATGAAAATTTAAAAATAGCATCTTTTAATTGTGATATTTAATTTGTGATAAAGTGTTTTTAACATATATATACAAATATACATTCTTCTTCTAAATAATCTAAATAATAATTTTATAATATTTTTTTTATATTCAATTAAAAAGGAAAATCAAAAATTATTGTCATTGAAATCAAATAAATTCAAATATATTTATTTTATAATATATTATTTATAATATATCTAATTTCTGTGCTATAAAATATCACTGTGGTAATATAATAAGCGATACTAATAACCTTCATTAATTGAGGCCAATTCGGCTGAGGTTGATGTCTAAGAATATTTAATTCTAAAATCACAAGTCGATTCGGAGATAAATTTGAAATGTATACATCAGAATCGATAGAACCTAATAAATTTGGCGCGCATATTAATAACCAGGGGGCAGGTTCACGACGCGTTTGTAGAATCGTTAAATTTTCAAACCCAACACGAAATACCTGTGATAACAAATTTTTCATATAAAAATTTATAAAATAAGATATATTAGATAAATTATCTTAAAAAATAAAAAGCATATTAATATTTGCTCATATCAAACATGTTTTAATACCTGATATAATTCTTGAAGAGGTGTACCTCTTAATAATAAGCAAATCAATAACTCATTACATTTTGTATGTATATCCCTAATAGCAGTAGGCAATTTATTTAATTTCATACCGATCATTTCATTGGCATTTACACAGACAGCCAAAGCAAGATATCCGGTACAGCAAAGGACGTTAAAAGCATCTGTCCAAAATTGTTCAGCTCGTGCCAAACTTGGTCGACCCTGTTTATATTAGTTCATATTTATTTGTATTGATATTATACACACACACACACACACATATATATATATATATATATATGTATAAAATTATATAACTTTTTCCAATATTACATAAATAAATCTTGTTACAATAATGGATAGAGACTCGTTCAACATCCCAGAAAAAACGCGTTGTGCCATTTTTGGAGATACGCTATTCCATAAATCTGTTTTGGTTCCTGAAAAAAGTGTAAAAAAAGAATATAAAAATGTCATATCATAATTAAAAATAAAATATAATAAAAAGATATTTCTTATCAATATAATATATATAATGACGAGCAAAAAAAAATTAGATAACATGATTAATTTTAAGAAAATATCATGATATATATCAATTTGAAAAATTAAAATTTGAATTAAAAATTTAAAAAAATATATTAGAATACTATTCATTATATAGATTTATATATAAATATATTATATAAATATATTATATTATAAATCTACATATATAATATTATATATTATTAATATATACTTTTTAATTTTATAATGCATAATAAATTATACACTTTATAATGCAATAAAATTATAATTACCATTCATATATAGCCACCACATTTGAATTACGAAAGAACAACGTTCTCGTTCAAAAAATGATTTAGTATCATGCCAACTAAGAGAATCGGCTTCATTAAGTATATATAATGAAATTAAACGACAATGCAAATCCAACAATCGTTCTGCCACAGCTTCAGTCATTTCATGATAAGACTTATACGATGTATTTAATTTCTCGCTATTCAAAGTAAGAAATTTAATTAAAAAAAAAGAATTTACAATGATTTATTATGAATACCTTGATTGTAAGGAAATTAAATTTTTAGCTTGTTGATTATAACACCATAAAGAATTTCGTATTAATGCAGCTGCTCCCAAAGTAGCTGTTAATACTGTCAAATCTGCATGATCTAATGATTCTTGAATAAGTAAATGTAAATGTTCTGAAATGATTTTATTACAAAATATTTATATCAAAATTTAAAACATTCCCTTTAATTTAATAAACTAATTTGAATTATCTATTTAAGTTTAATTTTTTATTTCTTCCGAAATTATATTTCTTTACCTAATAATTTATCGGCAGTATCGACAACAAGTAATACAAATTCGGAAGGTTGAATTTTTTTAATAACTTTCTCTTCACTTTCTACGATTGCAGAAATCTCATTTTCCATTAAATTTGTCAAACCGGAATGACGTTTAAATGCAGCTTGAAAATCTGCTTCCCACCACATAACGATTTTAACAGCAGCGAATGAAGCATGTCTTGGGAAATCAAGTTTTCCACCACTTATACGCGAACAAAGTGGCTCTTTCAACACGGTTTGCATTTCCTGCATCATGATATCATATATATATTAACTCATAATAAATTGTTTGTTATTTTGTAAAAGATTATTTTTATTACATTAAAAATAATGTAATATAAAATAATATTATAAAAAACTACCTGATAATATTGCATGTCTCGTTGTAATAAAATTCTAACACGATCTACTAAATTACCATCTTCCATAATTTCCATTTTTGTTATTCTCTCTTTGTTGATTCAAATAATATTCTTAGAATTGTAAAAATATAATAAATGATTATATAATATTAATATTGTCTTAAATAAAAATATTTATTGATAATAAATTTTAAATAATATCGAATAATAGTTTCATATATTATTTATTATTTACAAAAAACATATTTAATGATAATATAATAAACTACATTGATTCTGAATATATATGATTGAATATGATTCTGAATATGTGTTTTTACGATATGTAAATTTTAAAATAAAGTATTCTTGATTATTAATATCACATATGTAAAATACTAATAAAAACTAAATAATATAAAATAATATAAAGAATAATTAAAATATATGTGCCATTCCAGCATGCAAGTTATTAGTGTTAATATCTTAAAGATAGGTACTCACATAAATATATTACAATGTTTTATCTATTATTATTTATATACATAAATTTAAAAATTTTCAATTTTTTTTTAAATTTAGTTATTTTAGTTAAAATTATAATTTGAATAATTAATATATAATTAAAAACACTTCACTATAATTTCTTTTTATTTCCCACTAAAAGAACATTTATTAAAATTTGTTTGATCTCCTATAATTGCTGGTATTTCGTCATCGAGTAGTTCATGTAATGATTTTCCATCATATTTATAAATCCATTTACCATCTATAAAATCATATCGTTTTGGACCAGATTTTGGGGATGATAACCAAATTTGTCTATTTGGACTTTGACGATTTATAACATATGTACCATAAGAATCACCAAATTTAACAGTTAAAACACCATCCTATAACATTAATTATAATGTAATTAACTATAACTATAATATATCATATAATTAATATGTATAATATATATCATAATTATTATATATATATATTATAAGTTTAATATATATTTCATTTGTAAAACATACTCCATATGATACGTCTGCATCTGATAAATGTATTGCTTGCTCTACTAATTCATCAAAATGTTCAGTTAAAGAAGTAAGTGTCTCATCAGAAACTTTTTCAAATTGTACAGATGTTAATTCTCTATAAAAAAAAAATTTCATTTTTACATAATTGATTATTGATATTTTCTTTTTAAGTATACATAAAATTATGAAAATAATATAAAATATTATTAAATAATAATATAAAATATTAAAATTCAAAATATTAATAAGAAAAACTTAATATAGAATATTTAATATAAAACTTAGAATATTTTGTTATTATTATTTTAATATACTCACTGTGTAGATAAATTATTATTTGAGATTATGAACAAGTTTTTATCACAATTATGAACAATTGATTCATAACTTAATATTTTTAAATTTTTACTTATATTTAAATTCTTTTTAAAATGTAGCATATGATAACCTATATTTGCCTGGCATTTTACGTTGATTTCTTGTATTAAACATTTATTTATAATGTTTTTTACTAAATCATACGATAAAATTCTAAAAACACTATGTTTTATTGTACCTCTGGTTAATAGCATGATATAAGCTTTTTATATATTTTATATTGATTAAACAAGATGCCAAGACATCATAAAATTACACAGAATATTGTAGTAAAATTATGTATTCGAAGTTTTGTTACATTTTTTACAATTTAAATTTTAAATATTAATATAATAATCTTATAAAATTTTGTATTTCATGTTCAGAAATATCAATCTCTAATTTTTATATATTTTTATATTTCTTTCCATAATTTCTAAAAAATTATAACTTAGATCTTCTTGGTATTTAACTTACAGCACCATCTCTTATCATATATATATTAATACAGTTACCAATAGTAAGTATAGATACAGAGAGCTATTAATAGGAGTAGGACAGAGATAGGAAAAATTATTAAATTGAAATCAGCGCCATCTTCAGAGTGCCTCAAATGAAACACAAAAAGAAAGGATAGAAAATAGTTAGAGAAAGACGGACATAGGGTAGAAATTGACTTCTAACGCCATCTCTTGAAGACTGTCTAAAACTTTTCTTATTCAGGTTTCTAAATAGCTTCGAGAGATAGCGCCATCTGCCAAGTTTTCTATTAATTCACAGAATAAATAAGGAAAGTGAATAATGAGAAAAAGATAGAGATAGAATAAAAATATTGAATTCAGTGCCATCTTCAGAGTGCCACAAATAAAACACAAGAAGAAAGGATAGAAAATAGTTAGAGAAAGACGGACATAGGATAGAAATTGATTTCCAACGCCATCTCTTGAGTATTAAAGATAATTCTTTTAAAAGAGAGTAAGAATTGATGAATAGCGCCATTGATAATTTTCAAAAAATATTTATGAAATTCAAGAGATGGCGCATATGATCAATTCTTATTCTATTTCTATCCTTCTTCTATTATTGTCTGTCCTTTCTTTATGTGTTTCATTTACGGCACTCTGGAGATGGCGCTGATTTCAATATTTTTACTATATCTTTGTCCTTTTTTACACTGTTTGCTGTCTTTGTCTATTGATATTATAAAATATGCTCAAAAATAATTATAATTATAATAACTAATTAATTTTATTTATTCTTTCTTTTACTTATTGATTGATGTTATCTATATGCATAACTATTTATATTTATAATTAATTTATTTAAAATAACAATATATATAAATAAATATATAATAATACAATTAATATAAATATTCTTATTTTTAATAGAATTATATTTAAATTAATTTTTATAAAAAAATCTCATAAATTGATATTATTTTTATTATGATAAAAAATATGAGTTTTTTTAATTAATGATTTATTCATATATAATCGACATTTTTATTATGAGATCAGTATATTGTTAGAAACACTTCAAGCAACATCATTTTTATATCGCGTGACCTTTGATATTAATATAAATAATTTCATTTCTATCAATTAAATGCTTTTAAGAAATATGCTTCATTTGAATACTTTTCTCGTCTCAATTTTAATATTTTTATTAAACTCAATCAGTTACTTTATATTAGCAAATTCTTATGTATTACCCACACCAGTTTTCGAACTTTTAGAACCAAAAGGAATTCGTATATGGATACCGAGTAAGTAAATAATAAAAACTATACATATTGTATATTGTATAATTATATGAATTAATACAAAAATAATTTAATAATACAAAAATTATTTAAATCGCATATATAAATATAGATATATTTACAGCAATATGACAATTAGATAATCTTGGAATTCCCCGGATGTATTTACTTGTTAATTTTTTTTATGAATGGAAGGATGAGTAATTTGTGCGGAAAATATGAAACTATGTTAAATTAAATCGCATAATAAAAAAAAAATTAAATAATTAGTAATATATAATAAAAAAAATAATTAAAAATTATATAATAATTGTGAATATTATATATGATAAAATTACATGAATAAAAATTATTTAAAAATTCCCTAAAATTAAATTACTGTAATTATAAATAAAGCATTATAAATGAAATGGAATAAAACAAAATTTATTAATTATCATATTATTATTAATATTGTATTATTCAAATTATTTATTTATTAAGTTGAAATATGTTTTTTTATAGCTTTGTTTTTTTATATATGTTTATATAAAATGAAAATGAATTCTACTATGAAAATGAATTCTACTATTCTAATATATTTTTCTAATATTATAATTTTAATATTAATTTTTAAAAATTTTTTTCTTAAAAATTATTTTTTATATTTCTTTAAAAAAGTTGTTTAAATCAAAAAAATAAAAGAACAAAAAAAGATATGTACATAATAAACGTATAAAATGCAATAGAATTTTATTTTTACAATATTAATTTAAAAACTCAAAAATTTTGAATAAAGATTTAAAAATAATCTAACAATAATAAAAATTCATAATAAAAAGAATACCAAACATTGCATAATAAAAAGGATAAACCAGATATACAAAAATTCTAAAATATAGAATTAAGTTGTCGAAAATATTTGCATTGTTCAAAATATATGCATTGAATTTAATATAATATGAATTTTTATATTACAACAGACGAACAAGGCTTGAAATTTTTTGCATTTCAAGGAAATGTAAATAAAAAACTTAAATTAAATCAATTGGGAGAAATATCGGGTGAAGTATATAAAAAGGAAAATGAAAAATGGACCATTGAAAATAGAAATATAAATATAGTATCAGGAGACATTATACATTATTGGATTTATATACAAGTAAATGAAGCAATGCATATCAGTGGAGAACAAACTTGGACAGGTTTTACTCAATATTATTTTTGCTATTTTACTCAAAATTATATTTGCATTATATATATTATATATATATTATATTATATTTTCATATATATAATTTTATTTTAATTAAGAGAATTATAAAAATGAATTTCATGATAATTAAAAAATAAAATAGAAATTATACGTAATTGTAAAAAAAGATAAAAAAGAAAAATATAAAGAATAATTTTATTTTTTAGTTGCAATCACTAATAAATTCACGAATTTATTATTTCACGAAACTTTTGATTCCTTAAAAAATTCAGTTTGGAATCATGAAGTTAAGATACCATTAACTCCTGTAAGTAGAAATAATTTATTTAATATTATACATAACTATAAACATTCAATTTGTTATAAATATTTAATAATTATTTTAATACCTCTCTTACTAGGACTATGAATTTTGTGTTTATCACAATGATCAACATTCATCTATATATGTTGAAAATGGATTCCTTAAAATCAAGCCACTGATATTAGAAAATCTTTATGGTGATAATGCAACTACATTCGGAAAACTGATACTTAGTGGGTAAAAATACTATAAATTTTCAACATATACAAACGCGGGAAAACAATATTTTCACACGAGAAAACAATATTTTCATCTTTTCTTAATTTCATTGCCGAATTTTTATGCGTTATACATATATTTATTCATCATCTTGTAAAAATAATTTGAAATTTTTTCATTTATTATAGATGCACTAGTAAGATTTCAGAGGAATGTGAACGTAAGGGTAAATCGTTCCATATATTGCCACCTATTTTGTCTGCTAGATTAAATACAAAAAATACTTTTAGTTTTCAATATGGAAAAATTGATATAAGGGCGAAATTTCCTAATGGTGATTGGTTATATCCAGGTAAATATTAATATAATTGATTTCGATTGATTGATTCGATTTTTTTCTTGATTATCGATTTTATTATATACATATTTTTTAAATCAGAATTGAACATTCATCAGAATAATTCGAATCTTGAATTAATTAATCGGCAATACATAAAAAAATTAATAAAAAATAAAATAAAATAAACAAATTTTATTTAATTTTTATCAATAAAATAATAAATATTGTATTTATTTGCAATAGAAATGTGGCTTCAACCAAAGTATGATTATTATGGTCCCAACTATTCTAGTGGATGTGTTATACTCGGTCTTTCTCGTGGAAATGAAAATTTAGTTTCTACTGATGGAAAGATATACGATTCAAGAACGTTAGATTTTGGATTACGAATAGGAACAACAAAAAATCTTACAAATTATATAATATCTCAAACGCTAGAAAATGGTCCAAGATGGACAAAGGATTTTCACATTTACACAACAATTTGGGATTCCAATGGATTTCAATTTTTTGTGGATGGCAAAGAATTTGGTAAATTGATTCCACAAGAAAATGGTTGGATATATGGGAATAATTTCAGCAAAATGGCTCCTTTTGATCAACAAGTATGTACAAAAATATATTATATTTATATAAATATATAAAACTTATTTTTTAAATATTTATTAAAAACTTTTATATTTTTCAATAAAAATTTATATTTTTCATATAAATGTTTATTTTTTATAATAAATTATTATTAAATAAATGAATTTTTAAAGTTTCATTTCTACATTTCATTTCTATATTTCAATTATGTAGAATATATTTTGAAATTAATAAAAATGTATAAAAAAAATTAAAGAAAAGAATATATAATTTTTGATAATTTCAATTTGTTTATGAAATATTGTTTTTTTAATAGTTTTACATTACACTTGGGATAGGAGTTGGTGGTATTCGTGTATTTCCTGATGAGACAACTAGCTCAGGAAATGTAAAACCGTGGAAAAATGTTGGGGCTAAAGTAAGAATGTTTTTTATGAATATTTGTACGCAACAAAATTTAAATAAATTCAATGAAAACAATTTTTTTGATATACTATACATATTATATTACAATGACTTAACTATTATTAGTATAACTATTATTTTGAATTCAATGTTAATTTTATTTTACTATTGTAACATTAAAACATAATTATTTAAGAAATTGTGATATGATATTCCAGGCAATGTTGCAATTTTGGCATGCAAAAGATCAATGGTTATCAAGTTGGAGGCGAACAAATAGTGAAGAAAATATCTTCGAGATTGATTATATTCGAATATGGTCACTTTAAAAAAATTAAAAAAGATATGCTATTATATAGACTTACGTAATTAAAAAAATAATAAATAAATTTGTAAATAAGCTATTATTTTGTAATTTAAATGTAAAATAATTTCTTATAATGATGTAATGCATTTTATATATTGAAATAACATAACATATTAAATAACATAAGAAATAATATGAAATAATATTATTTTACTTTTTTATTATAACTAATTGATAATTATTAACACGTAAAAATATTAAATATAAATATATGTGTAAAATATATTATTAGTACATGAAATATTTTTAACGAAAAATATTTTACTAATTGAATATAAATATATATAAATATCATATGCATAAAATATATAAAAATTATTTAAAATTGTTTTTCTTAAAATTTGTTTTTTTAAAAAATAGTAAAAATGTTGAACTTGACTCTTCCTCCAAACCGGTTTATCATGAATAACATTAAAAAGAACAAAAGAAACTTTCATTTGGTTCACTGTATACCTAAGTGTGTAGGGTATAAAAATTAATAGATAGTGAATATTTTTTATCTTATTATAACTTATCAAAACTTTTAATATTTTAATTTTTCGAAATATTATTATAATAATAAATAATTGTGACTCATATATTTTGTACATTATATCTCAAATGAGAAAATTAATTATCTTTTTTATTATGACTATAATTCATTTAATTTATGGATTAAACAATGACAAATATTATCCATCAAATTATTCTAGTAAGTATAACAATTTTACGAAATATATAAACATATATCATATTAACAAATATAAAATTCACTTTTCATATTTTATTAATATTTATGTACAAATTCTCATATAAACTAATAATAATTTAAAAAAAGTTATATATATAATTAAACAATTAATTTTTATGTTTAAATATATATATTAAATATTTTATAAATTGTAATAACTTTTTTTCCTTAAAAATCTAATAATTATATTTTATTATTATTTTAGAATAAAAAATTTATATATTTTATTTATACATCTTTTATGTATTTATAGGATATGAATTTATTTTACACAAATGCATAGCCAGTGCTCAATTAAATACGAGACAAAATAAACAAATATCAAATACTAATTCAAATAAACCTATTGAAAATCTCTTACACAAAGCATACATTCCAATTATTATGCGAGAGAAGAATTCAACTATTTCAAATGTAAAATTGAATAATAATCATTTATTTAATAATTCTGAAACAAACTACAGCAATTTAAATGAAAATCCATCTTTCAAAAAAGAAATAAAAAATACACCTTTAAGAACTTTAAATATTAAATCAATGAAAAATTCATCACCTATATTTATAAAAAAAGATTTGTTACCAGAACTTAAAGATGACACTAATAAAATTAAAAATTCATCTTTTGATTTTATAGTTATTAAATCAACAATATAAATATAATAATTTTTCGATATGTAATAATACTATACTAATATAATAATAGTAATATTACTAGTAATATTAGTTATAGTTATATATATAATATTATATATATAATTATATATTACTAGTAATATTACTATAATGTAAAATTATATAACATTATTATATCATTAAATAAAAGAAAAAGGATTATTATGATTATTATTATTTTCAAATATTATTGAAAAAACAAAATTAATATTCAAATGCAATTTATTTGTCTATTTCTTAAAATGTAATGTAATAATTTATTTTATTCATTATTATGAAGGTGTTGCTTGCTGAATTTTTTCTGGTAAAGTTTGTAATTCCACCTATAAAAAATAAAATCAATAATTTGTATTTTATATGTATTTAGAAATGAATAAATTAAATCATACCTTTGTAATTTTCATTGCTACTCCTTCTGGAAGATTTCTTTCTATATATTCTAAATATGTATCTGCAGTTGAGCCAGTTAATTTAAAAAGATCAAGATATCTATAATATGTTCTTCTCTCATACTGAACTCGATGTTTTTTATGAACATGAACAGATTTAAGTACTGTTAATCTTTCATGGATAGGCTTTCGTAGTGCAATACTATTAATTTTAGCATAACAATTTTATATTCTTTTATATATAATTTTATAAATATAACTTTATAATTATAACTTACTGTCTACCAACAATGATGTCTAAATAATTTGCTGCCATAACAGCAAATTCTCCATAGCTTTTGAGAACTGCAGGATCATTTCCTCTCATTTCAATTTCCAACTTTTTATAAAGTTTATCATGTTCATCAGACTAAAATGTGTTATATTTTAAAAAATATATAAATATATAAATTCTTATAAATATGATACAATGAGTATCATAGTGAACTTAATAAAAAATTCAATAATAATAATAAATTTTATTTATTATTTAATCTTAAGAAGTAATATATATATTTATTTATGAATAAAATCTAATTACATACATTTATGAGATTAGAATTAGTATTTGATGATCCAGGTGATGCTTCAATAGTAATCTCGGGTGAAGTTTTAATTGAAGCATCAATTTTTTGTGAATTTTTATCTGAAGTTTTAGATTGCTGGGAAATTTCATTTATGTTTTTTGTTAAAGTTATATTTGAAGTATTACCCGAATTTTCAATATTAGTTGAATATAATATATATTGAAATTTGTTATAATTTGATTCTATATTATACAAATTTCTATTTATAATATTATATAAGAAAGAAAATGCCTAAAAAATATTAGAGGTTAATTTTTAACCTAAACTTAAATAAAGCTTTTTACATAATTACACTTGTACCTTTGAATGAAACATTTGTTGTTTGTTGTTTTTATTTGTTAGTTAAAAAGATTAATTAAGGCTTTATTATCTTAGATTGAATAAAATTTAGATATAAAAATGAATACTTTTTTTTTGACATATATACATTTTATATTCCGCGCATTCTATATGTATATAAATAAGAGAAATCGTACATATGTGCTAAGATTATTATATCATGTTACTTATACATGCATTTAAGTATCATGTATATTATAATACTTATTAAGTATGGTAAATAAATGATATATATAATGATATATAAATGATATATAATAATAAATAGAATATATTTTTATATAAAATGGATTTAATCAAAAATTTTCTTCTCTCTTTTTATGTTATTATTAAGGCTTAATTTGTAAGTAGAACCATGTTTTAATTAATATAATAATATTTATTACTTTATTTATCTATTAATAGAGATAAATAATAGGCTTATAGTTTTTGTAGTCTTTATATTTTTTTTTTTATATAAAGAATAAGATTGTAAGTCTGATTTATTCTATATGATAAAATCAAAAGATATCAATGTTTAAAAATGCAATTTAATGTCTTTTTCTATTTTTTCTGGTTATAAATCTTCTTATAATATATTAAATTATAATATAATATATTAAATTAAATTATTCGATTTTTTAAAAATGAAAAATATTTTTTTCATATTACTAATCTAATATAATTATCATTAACATGTTTCAAATAAATATTTAATATATGTCATGAAATCGAATAATATATAAATAAAATATATAACTAAAATTAAAAAGTACTTTAAAAAATACGATCCTATACAATTACATTATGATCAGAAATTATATTTTATATTTCATACTTGATAAGAATAAAACTTATTAACCAATAATTTTTAATATATCTAATTATTAATTTAAATTAATTTTTTAACAAATATTTTATCGAATATTTTTATCAAATACATTTGAATTAATTAAATTTTTTTATGTAAATGCAGTTTTATTTGAAAAGTACAATATAAACTTACTTTTTACATTGTCTCAAAGGAGAGGTACTTAAAACATCATTTTATAATAGCACATTAAATAGCACATTATTTATAAGTTATTATTATTTTAATAATGTTTTTAATATGAAGATAACAAAATATAACTATAAAAAACAAAAGTGAATATTTATTCACATTGATCATAATTACTGATGATAATCTTATAATATAAACTTAAACATTTTAAGATTCAAGTGTATATATAATTATTTATTTTATAAATCTTAAATATATTCTATACTATTATTAAAACAAATATAAATTCCCCTTTGTGACGTATGTAATAAACTGACATTTTGTAAAAATATTTGAAACAATAAAATTGTTGATAATTAACATTATCATTAACTTAAATAACACAAATTTTAATATGAACTTTTGAATTGAGTTGTAGGAAAAGAACGTTGTGATTGAAAATTAGAATTTTTAAATTGCCAAGATCCTATAGCATTTCCATTTTGCCAACCAGTAGATGTAGTTTTCTTATCAATATTATCTTGAGGAAGCCAATGTGATTCTCCAACATTTTGATTACTATTATTTTGCCATTGAGATTTTGTACCAAAAGATAATGCTTTATTTTGCCAATTATCTTTATTATTTTTTGTCCATGAATCTCCTTTTTGTTGTTCATTTTCTCGTATCCATGTATTTGATGTATTAGTATTTTCAAATTTAAGCCATCTTTCTTTTAAATCTATAGCACCATCATCTCCCCAAGGATCTTTCGCATCTTCTGGTAAATCATTTAAATCTTCTTTGTCACATTGTTTCCAAGAGTCTTTAATATTTATTAATTCCCACCTAGCTTGTTTTTTATTATCTATCCAAGATTCTTTACAAGCAGTGAAACTTTCTTTACCGCGAATATTCCAATTATCATTACTACTGCTGGGTATAGATGTTACTGACCATCTATTATCAGAACTTGACCATGATTCCTTCATCATAGGTTTTGTGTGTAAAGTTTGTTTAGAATTCCAAGAATTTCCATCATTATTCCAGGTATCATTACGAATAGGATCTTTAACAGTTTCCCACTTTTCTTGATAAAAAGTTTTACGACGCCTATCATTATCCCAATTATTATTGGATGTTGGCGTTTTTTCAATTTGCCAAATGTTTTGTTCAGACATGTTTCGTTCAACAGGTCGAGACCAAGTTTGTTCAATGGCTCCTCTACTTGGTATATCCCAATCATCAATAAATCTTGATGGTGACATTTGTCGTCTTTGAGGAGAATGTTGTTGTCTTGGTGATAACGTAGAACGTTCAAAAATCAATCTATGTGGTGATTCTGCATGTCTCATTGTTGATGTTTGCTGTCTAGAAAATATTTCCTGTCTATTAGAAGATATCATTCGATTAGGAGATGGAATTTCTCTTCTTAAAGGAGATATTGGATGTTTCATTGATGATGATTGTCTTCTAGAAGGAGATGCAGTAGATCTCATAGGAGATATTTGTCGTGGTGAAATTTGATGTCTTAATGGTGACATTGGGCGATTCATAGTCATTTCAGTTCTTCGCGGTGAAAGTCGTCTCGGTGACAAAGGTTGTCTTAAAGGTGACATTGGTCGTCGTAATGGAGATATAGGACGTCTTATAGGAGAACGTTGTCTGTATACAGGTGACATAGGACGGCGAAGAGGAGAAAAATGTCTTCTTGGAGGAGAACATAAACGTCTTGGAGGTGATAACAATGGACGTTTAGGAGAAAGTCTTTTTGGAGGAGTTACACGATGTTTAACAGGAGAATTTTGTCTTCTCATAGGTGAAATTGATTTTTTCATATTTTCTACTTCATTCCAACGATTTTTTTCAAAAGTTTTATCTCTATTTTGATCTATTTCAACCTGAAACGATCTGCTAAATCGTTCAGGTGTTGTACGAAATGATCTTTCTTCTTTATGATCAATTGCTTGTAATATTGGCAGGACTGTATTTGGTTCTAAAGGTGGTATATTATGATATTTTTTATAAATCGGTTTTGTTACAGGCTTTTCATCATTTAGAAATCTCTTATTTGGCATAGTAATTAGAATATCTTGGGAACCCATTTCTTGAACGTAACGGCCTTTCAAAATAGAATCATTTTGCTTATTTTCTCTTTGATCCGAATTTATATTTCCTGGTGAAGCAATACGATCCCAAACAGAACGAGGTAATTGACTTTGAAGTTTATTTGTTTGTTCTAAAACCATATTTAACATATTTTGCAATTGTTTTGCAGTATTTATATCAACAGTCGGTGCTGGTCCGCTTAATTTTTCCTTCGCTATTTCTAAAAGAGCTTGATGTTCTTTAACCGTTTGAGCAATATCTATATCTAGTCGATTATTAGATAATCTTTCTCTTAAATCAGTTTGTTCTTTAGGTTCTCGCATTTTTTTTTCGTAAAAAGGATTAACACATAATTGTGGACTTTCTGTATTCCAATCTTTTTTCTTTTTTGCTGCTATATCTAATATTAAAAGAATTAAGATTATAAGAATTAAATAATTAAATTTTTTTTATATTATAAATTAAAAGATATAATTAAAAAATATTACTAGATTTTTTACTTCTTATATTTTTTTAATATAAACTTACCTATATGCCATGGTTTAGCACCTATTTTATTAAATTTTTTTATTAATTTTTTTGGTGGTGTTTCTCCTTTGTCCGGAGAATGGGAACGCTTTCCTTTAAATTTATTTTTTGAAAATGAATTCTCAATATTTTTTGTATAAAATACTTTTTTTATTGATGTTTTCGATTTTCTTACGGGATTTTTTACTAATTTATTAAAGTTTATTTTAGTTTTTAATTCAAGTCCTTTGCTCAATGTTTTATCTGTTTCATCAACATTTTGTTCATTTTCTTGAATAATTTTGGTTTCTGGATTTTTGACATCTTCCTCTATAGTTTTTTGAAACCATAGCTGATTAAATTTATTTATCATTCGTCGCTGCATTAAAATAACTGCTTCAAAATGAGGACCAATAGGTAAAGTATCAACAACACATGCCAAAACAGGAATAAATGCTGATCCATGACCATGATCTCCAGGTCGAGCTAATTCTAATATAGCACGTACTGATTGTTTAGTTAATGTTGTTATCATTACTATTCGTTTAAGAGATGGAATTTTTCTAAGAGCTGTCATTACCTCAATTGCTGTAAAATATATGTATATATATGAATATATGAATATGTATGTATTCAAATATTATTCTAAAAAATTATTATTAAATTATTAATTATTTATAATATTAATTTTAAATTATTATTTATGAAATCAGAAGAAATATGATAAAATTATTCAATATGAATTTCAAAATTTTAAAAATTATATTTTATGTAAAAGTTATTTGTTTATATTTGATATGTTTACATACCTCGACCAATATTAGTATTTGCATTAATTATCGCACATGTTTTACGATTTTTAACCGCTGCAATAATTTGATTTGTTACTTCAGAAGGAGATCCCATAATGAATGAAGCATTTTTTATGTTATTTAATTCACATGTCATTTCAGCTTCTTCTACCTCTGATGGAGAATCCACTCCTATAACTTGTTGACATTTCTAAAATTAAAAATCATAAAATTTAGAATAAAAATATGATAATTGATAATAAAAACATTCTTTTTATTTACAGATGCCATCATCAATCCAATAAGACCAATACCACATCCTATTTCAAGTACTGTTGTTTTTGGACTAGGTGCAAGTAAATCTATTACTGCATTTGCCACATTTTCTGCTCCTGCAGAATTTGACCAAAAGTTTGTTTTAGGTGCAAGTTGGACTTTTAATCCTCCAACAATTTCATCCAAAGCTTCTGATCCTACTAGAAATGTTGTATCCGTAACAGCAGTACCATCATATCTAATATTAAAAAAAAAATAAATTAATAATATATATTATTTATTTTTTAATATGAATGAATATTACATAATTTAATAGCTATATAAAATTTTGCAATTTTTAAAAAATACTACTATGATTTTATACATTAAATACATGATTTATACATAATTTTATAAATTATTTTTACCTATTTGTAGACTTGCAATATAGAGATTTAACATTGCAATCTTTTCCAGGTCCAGATTCATAAACTTGTTTCAGTCTATCCATTGTAGAACGAGTAATATTTTCTCCAGTTGCAAATAACATAAGTTCATCCATACTATTGCAACGTACTACCAACCATAACCAATCTTGTTTTCCTTCATTACTTGTGTCTTTTTTTGATTCTGCATCTATAGATACATCATCAGAAAAATTTTCATCTATAGAATTTTGTGAGGTTAATTGTTCTGTTGTTTGAAGAAAATCTTCAAATATCTATGCAAAGAAATACAATTTGATTATAATACAATATTTGTATCATATATCAAATATATTAAATACAATAATTTACATTAAACAAATAATTTATATCAAATACAATAATTATATCATAATTCATCATTAATAATTATATCATCAAACTTGAAAATATAAACAACATTTATAATACATATTTATTTAAAATAAAAGAAATCTAAATCTATAAAATAATATTAAACATACTTTTACAGCACGCAATACAAAAGGTGGAAATTGAGATTCATTATTTATATTTACACCCCATGCTCCACTGGCTTCCAATTTCCAAATTATTTTTTTATCTTTATTAAAAGAACTATCAGAATTTTCTATTTTTGTAATAGATTCATGTATTTCTTTTCTGTTGCCTAAACATAAATTTCATCATTTTGCTTTTCTTCAATTACTAAAATAAGTGTAATATATATAAAATATAAACAAAATATAATACAATAAATACTTACAAATAAATTTCCAACGATTAGTATAAGGCTTATCTAAACAACAGCGCCGAGAAGGTTTTAATTTACACAAGGGAGATCCATTTATCTTTTCTTCATATTCTAACCATTTTTCATAACATGGGTAAGAAATTCCTAAAACTCTAGCTACTTTTGAAAGTCGTTCTTTTATAATTGTTTCTTTCTCAATAAGCTAAAATAAATTGATAAATTAAAACAATAATGATAAAAAATATATTGCATATCAATAATTTAATTATTTAATCATACATTACCTTCTGCTCATACCAGTCATTTTCTGTACATTCTTCTTCTTTTATTTCTTGCTTTATTTCTTTATCTAAAATGTATAATGTTTTTTTATCAACATTAATATTTTCATTTGTATTATTGTCTTTAATAAGTTTATTTTCTGAATTAGAAGATTGATTTTTCATATCTGCTTCTAGTAATTGATTTCCTGTACATTCTTCTGGTAATTGGAAATCTGTAGAATCTAATACAATATTTTCAATTTCATCTAAATGATGTAAGACATCTTCATCTGTTACATCTTTTTGTTGATCTAATTGATCTAAAGTAATATCAGCAGTAAAATCAATTGATTCCATAGTTGATTGTTGCAGACATTTATCTTCTGTGTTTGATGTATTGTTTTGATCATTATTATTAGAATTTGAATTATTCAATAGTATATTATCTGTTAAATTTATGGAACTTTCTGAAACTTCTTGATTTTTTTCCATACCTATATCTTTGTTTTTCTCTATATTTATGCCTTTAATTTTTCCAATATCTTCATTTCTCTCTAAATTTTCTTTTTTTTTTATTTTTATATTTTTGTTTTCCTTCATATTTGTATTTTCAATATGATCTACATTTTTATTTATTACATTATTATCTAAGGATTTAATATTTATAAATTGTTTTTCTATATTGTTCAAACATTTAGATTGTTGTATATTATTAGATGTATCTTCTTCTTCGATACATTCATCTACTACTTCATAATTTTCTCCTTCAATTGTAACTGCTCCTGAATTTTCTGTAATATATGTTTATTCTTAACTATAATAATTTATTATAACTTATGCATAAAAAGATACAATTATAATTATCTATTATCTTTAAATTTAATCAATCTTTTTCTAATATATATTTGATTTTTAATAATATATTGTAAGATTTTAAAAATATCTATGACAAAATATGAAAACATGTTAAAGCAAAATATTGTATTATAAAAAATAAAAACTTACCCATTCTTTTACCGATATTTAAATGTGAATGTTCAGTCTTAAAATCCGTAAGACAAATGACACTTGGATCAAAATGTTATTATATTTAATATTAATAACTGATTTTATGAAACAAATAATGTACATATAGAATCAATAATAGAATTAAATAAATCTTTTATTAAATACTTCACTGTTATTATAACTATAATTCTTACAGCTTATCATGAACATTTTATCCACTACAATACATTTTACTTACATTTTTCATTACCAACATCGTAATATTTACAAAAATAAATTTTTTACCCTGTATAAAAGTATATACATATATACATTACTATAATGTCTCAATAATCTAGTGCTTTATTTTTTCAAATATTCTTATTTAAAGTATATTCCGTTGCAAGAGTTTTACATAATCTCTTCTTTATTTCATTGTATTATTCTATACCAATAAAATTTGATCGCGCGATAGGGAATGATGAATATGGCGTTCCAAAAACAATCTACTAGTGTACAATTAAAAATTCTAGTTTTAAATTCATATTAAAGATTATATATAAATATTATTTATAATAATTATTTTTTACATCACAATATATTTTTATTTTCAAACTCTTTTTTATATTATTATATATATATTATTAATAAAATATAAAGATATATAGAAATTTTATACTTAGGAAAATCTTAATATATGATATCTTAAAAAACCCTAGAATTTTTAAAATCGGTATTTTTTATATATATAAAAAAAGAATTTAATATTTAATTCAATATTACGAATAAAAATATTATATTATGAATAAAAATATTATAAGAATTTGTTTCATATTACGGTTCATATTAAAATTTTAATATAATTAAAATTATATATAATAATATTTATAATATAAATTTTTAATAAATTATATTATATATTAATTATATTATATTAGAAAAATTTTTATTAAAAAATAATATTTCTTTTTTCAAAATTTATTGGAAAATATATATTTATATAAATATATTATTTTAAAACAAAATTATGTTTTTAAAATAATATACAATAAAGTAGTACAAATTTTTATTTTTTATATATGTATATAATTAAAATTAAATATATAATATTATATTTTGTAATTATACAATGTTTAATCTTAGAAAATATACTTTTAAAATGAAAGTAACTTTTTATTTTATTTTTTTATTAAATACAATTCTTTTTCATTTATAAAAATCTAATCATTTATCTTTTGGTGTATTCAATATGGCACGCTTACTAAAAATATCTATAAGTATATATAAATATATAGATAAAAATATATAAATATATATAAATATATAAATATATATAAATATATATATATATATATATATATATAAATATAAAAATATAAATTGTTATATGTATTACATAATAATTTATTCTAAGTTTCAAAGTATTGAATTTTAATGTATATAATATACATATATATATATATATTTTTTTTTTAATTAATTTTAATAAGATGAAATTTAAAAAAAATTATGATTTTTTTTAAATTCTTAAAAAAATAATTTAATGCTCAATTTAATTTATAATATAAATATAATATAAATATTGGTAACATAACATTTCGTAAATAAATTAATATTAATTAATAATCTTTATGCTATATATCAATGATTTATTTTTGTATATAAATTATAAATTACAAGCAATTCTTTTTTTTCATAAATCCTCAATGAATATTAATTAAAATGATTCATTGCATCGTTTACTTTTTCCTTATTGTTGTATCATTATTTCCGTATTGTTGTATCATTATTTATCGCAGTAGCTTTCAATATTCCAATTCCAGCTTTTTAATAAAGCTCTAAAGAATCATTTTCAAGCGATATATGTATTTAATTTAACTTTTTTTCAATTATACAGGTATGCATCGAACCAATTATTCGTATCATTAATCGATTTTAATTACACGATTCTATAATTGTGCAGGACAGTTGTACAATGATTAAGTTCACCAAGCTGAAGGAGGCTTAACCGCGGAAATTCTGTGGAGCGTGGCGAGAGCGCAGTCGCACCGCTTATAGATTTTCCCCTTTGGTGACTTGGTACGTGTAATACCGACACAAAGCTCAGGGGTTGCATGGATGAGGTAAAGGGGATGGTTTGTGTCCGACGCACAACGTCCATGGAAGGGAAAAGGAACTGCGCATACCCGAAGGTAGTGGAACAGGAGGACGAGGTGGAGGAAGAGTAGGAAAAAGAGGTAGAGTAGGAGTAGAAGGAGGATGTAGCGAGAGGACAGAAGCGACGGGCTAGGCCAACCGTCTGCACTGTGAACTGCCCGATCGGGAATGAATAATCTCGCGCATAGGTGGTGCCCGATGTGAAGGATTTGGACATGTGACCAAGGGTGAGTGCATCATCGAGGTGCATCTTCGTGGTGCACTACTACTCGTATTTCGCGGTTAAACACGTGGTCCGGGTTCTTCAATGCGTATTTCGAATGGTAAGTCTTTTTTTCCTTTCATTCTTTTTCTATCTGTTCATTATACTTTCGCATGATGTCAGGAAATTTGTAATGTTCGCATGTTACTTAAGAATCACATTGTACATTTTGTTCTTACATTTATAACACATTTCTTTAAATGATAAACGAGTTGAAATTTTCAAAGATAAATTTTAATGAATGTTTGTTTCAAATATAAAATCTATAGAAGAATAACTTTCTTTAAGAGAATATTACATGTTATTAATTTTTAAATTTATTTTCAGTTATTTTAAGCAATGTTAATATTAAATATTGTTTCATTGTAAAATTCGGTTGTTGATATTTGATTTTCGGGCGCGGTTCGTAATATATTGTTTTGAACTCTTTTCTAAAAAAAATTTTGTAATTAGAAAATATGTGTAGGATAAATATATCTTTGCAAGATTTGTTTGAACTTAGTGAAAATTATTTCTCACAATTTTATCATTGATATTATCATCTTCATGTGTAAACTTCGAATTTTAATTGTATTATCTGAAATATCTAAATTTATCACAGTTTGATTTAAAATATTTAATTTATTCTTTATGTACTTTTATCAATAGAATTTTTAATTAATTTTTTAAATTTCAAAGTTATTTATAAGAAATTAAAAAAGTATGTTTCTATTTTGTACTAATATTTATTAGAATATTTATTAGACATATCATAAATATGTTATTGATGCATAAAACATATATAATTTTATATTTTACGTTTTTTTAAACTAATTTTATATATGCAATTATGATTATAAACGCGATAAGCATAAAACTAGATAAGTTGATTTATAATACTTTTCTAATATTTAAATATTTTTTGAATATATTAATATTCATTTATATTTTAAAAATATCGATTTGATGTATATAATTACTGTCTCTCTCCTCTCCACATTACATAAAAAGAAAATTACGATTAATTAAAAGAAATTAAAATTAATTATTAATTTTTTAAAGAAATAAATTAGAATAAGTAATTGTTTAAAAATTTAATATTTTTATAATTATATTAACAATTAAATTATAAGTATATAATTGCAATGATTATAATAAAAAAAATATAATTAGTTATAAAAGTTACAATATTTTGTTTATATACACATCTGTGATATTACGCGCGAAAAGAATTTGAAAATATATGAATAGAATATTTATATCATAATAAATTAAGTATTTAAATACATTAAGATTACATTGTTCTAATAAATTATAAATAAATTGTAAGAAAACAAATTGAATTTCATTATTTATTGTAGATAAAAAGTAGAATATTAAAAAAATGATGATGTTTACATGTAGTTATTTTGAATTGCAATTATTTTTTAAAGATTTTATATCTAAAAAAAAAAAAAATCATTTTATAAAGTCCCTCTATTTTCTTAACTTTTTAAAATTATATTTTGAATTATATATTTGTAAATCAATATGTAAGATATAAAACATTTTATCTACACTTTTACTTATCAAATAATTTCAATACGAAATGTTGAGGTTACTATGGCAAATACAAGGGGGGTGAATTGGGAAGTGGGCGTGAAAGTTGATTCATGCTGGTACGGTGTTCTATAGTACCTCTTTAGCTATATTTCGATAATAAGAAGCGATAACGTCAGTACTGCATTACGGCCAAATTCAGTATTATATCGATAGAAAAAGTTAGACTAATCTCAACTATTTTATTTTATTGATCACATTACTGTGTATATAAAAATTTTCTTTTCTTAGTTTTAGCAAAAAACTATATGTATATATGAAAATATCATATATACATATATACAAATCGTAGGTGAATAATTTAATTTTAAAACAATATTAATTGAGAAATATTAAATTATTTTGATATATTTCATATTTCAAATAATTTTAAATTTTAAATAACATAGTACAAATCGCCGAACTTATTATTTAAAAAAGGATCAATTTTAGAATATTAGAAAGAAAAATGTTTAAAAGTATATATAGATTTATGAATTAGAATAAACAAAATAATTATTAAATAATTATGTTTACTCATGTTCAATCATTATAAAATTAATAAGAACGGAAAGTATTGTTAATATTTATAAAAGTAATAATATTTACATATATACAATAATGATCTGTACAATATATACATTTTTATTATTTTATTTATTTATTTTACCATGATCCTTTAATCTTATTACGTCAGTGTCATTTTTTTGTTTTAATTCAGTGCATCATCATTAGCTGCAAACTTATGTATGTTTGTGAAAAAACTCTTTGTGCAGTTGACAGTGGACAATTGAGAGAGATAAATTATCTTGTAACAGAGATATACATATATTTTTCATTATGTGTTCATAAAAATATTACCAATAGGAAGATGCAGACTATTCAATTAAATATTTAAATTAAATATTATATTATTTAAATTATTTTTTACATTAAGCATTAAGCTTTTACATTAAGCTCGAATAAAATTTTTCAATAAAATAAAATTTGATTAATATAACATTGATAATCGTATATTAGAAAGTATTTGAGAATATACATATGAATCTTACGGTAAAGATGTAAACAATTATACGTACATATATTATAATATATAATGCTATCATGTATAATATTTTGTTTAACTTTGTATGCATGCGTTAATTAATCAGAATACATGGTTTTACCAACTAAATACTTGTATGTATATTTATGATTTACCTCCATTTTTTTATGTCTGTTTAACAAAAATTTATTGATAAAAAAATTTTTATATTAAATGCAATTTCGAACTTAATTTTTAAACGCAGAAAATATTTTCCAAATCCTATGGTGCGATTATACATATACATTTTGATTGTCACGCAATGAAACGTAGAACTATAGGAACAATAGACGTCTATAACATTTATGTAACAGCAATTAAATGTGCAACAAAATGATAATAATTTGTCATAACAAAGATTAATAAAATTGATTTGAAAATCACAGATGAATATTCAAACCTACTAATCTATTTTCATCATATAATTTAACATGGTGTTCTGTTTCTCTTTCTCCCTTCGTTCTAGGGTAAATTGGGAATAGATTCTGGTTTCTAGAACGTCAATTATATACTACAAATAAGCCGCTGCACTTAAAATACTCGTGTTTGGGTAAAAATTATACGACATGTATCAATAATCTCATAAATGTAAATAAATTGAGATATGAGTAATTGAATCTTTTTTCTTTTTTTTTTTTTTTATGGTATTATCTATTATCAAAACATTACGTGCAAATATACAGAGTTATCAATTAGTACAATTTTTAGCGCCAGTTATGTGCTATAATGGGATTTGATGCACAATTTAATGTACTAATGTAACGATTAAGAAATGCTTAAAGATATTTTTATATTATAAATTTATAAGATTCTTTTAATTTAAATTAAAAATATATAAGAAATTATTATTCTCCATTGATGACTTCTCGAATTCAAAAGATACATAGTATATTTTGATACACGATATAATTATATAATTTAAATAATATTGTAATATGTACATGTATATAAATGTAAATACATGTAAATAAATATAATCGGGAACAAAAACAATACTGTTATATGTATATTGAGAGTTCATCATACTTTTGAAGACATGTAATCAAACATGCGGGTATGTTAAAATAAAACTCGTAGAAATATAAAGGTATAGTAATGCAAAAGAGGTGAAATCTATTAGTTTCCTGTAACATGTTTCGCTATTGAAATTCTTTGTTATTATATCCGGAATAGTTAGAAAGGAATCAAATGTTATGTTATTTAGGTTATATCGATAAAGCTATATTTGGATTATGTATTTATTCATGTTTCAAATAATAAAAATGTATAATTTTGAAAAAAAATGCTCATTTTTGTATGTCTATACAATTCATATTATGAATTTCATATTGTAATAATACATTTTTTATACAGTTAATTACATAATTAATAAATTATTAAATTAGTTAAATAATTATTATCATTGTGATAAGAAAAAAGTTTATGTATCAAAAGAATTTAATTTATTATTTTTAAGAAAAGTACATAAGATCAATTTTACATGATTCAAAAATATTTTTTAATGTAAAAAAAATTATTAGTACCGTTAAATTAGAAATGAAATTGTAAAATATAATATTTTTAATATACACATATCGTATTTATCATATTTATCGCGTAATATGAATCATAATATTATGTGGATATTACATTGATGAAATCTATCAGATTTATGTAATTGGATGTTCACTCCAATTAAAGAAAAATCATTAAGGATATAATCGATATAAATACAAATAACGAAAGAATGCAAAAACGTATGTAATTATTTTTTAATATTTTTTAATTTTTATAAAAGAAATTAGTTCGGATTAACTTAAATTGTTGTTAAATTTGTTTTCAACAACATATCTATAATTCATTATTAATATTCATAACTCAATAATAATCATTAATTGTTCATTTCATATTTATTAGTAAAATTCAATTACACTAGAAAGAAATAGATTTACAATCTTGTAAATAATAAAATGAATTATATGAAAGAACAAAGAAAAAATGAAGGTTCAAATATAAAGAAGTTTAATGAAGCAAAAGAGATTCATTTTGCAATTATTGTAAGTAATTTAACGTTATATTTTCAATAATATTTTTTTTGCTATATTTATTTGTAGAAAAACAAATTTCTTTTTAACCTTTTTATAACGATACGTCATTACAAAGAATATTAATGAAATTGTATTCAAAACGAAATATTCCAATATTCAAAGTATACATTTGTATTTAAATACAATTGGATTATAATCATTGCATATATTGAAATTATAATTATCAACAAAATAATGTTCTATTTTTGAGATCTCGTGAAAAAAATTAATTTTTGATGAAAAATAATTTTATAAGATATATTTTATCATTTTTTTGGCATAGTTATTTATAAATAACATTTAAAAAAAACTTTAAATATCAATATGCATAATACTATTTAAATAAATTGCAAAATTTAAAATATTTATTTATATTGTTATTCGAATATACTACAAATGAAATTAAACAAAATAAAATAAATGACTAATGATACTTTACTAATATTTATCACGTAACTATAATTATTAGCGATAAAAACCAATAATACATAGCATAATACTTTCAATAGCTTTCAGTTGCATAGGTGACCTATAGATAAACATTTATTTCTATTCTATATACGTTATATTCTGTATATATTTTCGTCATAAGTAATTTTAAATTATATAGCGTTAAAAAAAAAATGATAAAAGGAGTTTTTTTATCATTCATAAAAATTGTCGTAAGTAAATAAATCTTTTTATTGATGTCTATATTTTTGTACTTTTATGAACATAAAGTATAAATACACATACGAACTAATAAACTGCTATATATATCATATATTATAATTATTAATATCTTGATGTGATAAAAATTATACAGATAAATTAATGTTTGCAATGTTACGTCAATGCAAACCGAGGATTTTAAGTATGTACATATATCTTATGATTGTAAGAAATTCGTTGTTTCATTTTAGTCGAATGACTTTGTATTATTACCCATTAAAATTGTATGACTGAATATGACTTATTTTATTTTATTTTTTTTTTTTTTTTTTAGAGATAGCTGGTTATTAATATCTTTTTGCATCTATTTAATAAAATAGACATGACTTTTAAAAAGTTGTCAAAAATGAAACCTGTATATATTTTATAAAATCATTATAAAAAAAATATTTATTCTCTTCAATGTAAGAAATGTTCGTTTTTATAAAGACTAATCGATGAACAATATTCTTATGTTTTTATTTCGATACAATATCGGTTCTGTTTAACTATTATCTGATACGGGATATCAGTATCATAAATATTAAGTATATTAACTATGTACTTAAGTGTAATATCTAAAGCGTTACTGCAACTTATCAGCAGTCTTCTTCAAAACTGTTGCAAAAAAATCATGATACAACTCGTTCATAATTTCATTGGGATAGATACAAATTAAATATGATATAAGCATATGGTTGATGTATCGATCGTGCCACATATCAAACATTAAATGAAGTTGTACGAATTTATGTTGTAAAGAATTTTTAGAATTTTTAGAAATTTATTTCTTTTTTACAAGATATAGAATATCGATCGATTAACATGTAATATGTATATCGATGAAAATTATTTTTGACGATGTGAATTGAAAAATTGCATTATTAATATGAGATACTTTGTGTGTGCACCTTTCCACAGATATAGCATTATTTACTTCATGATTATTCAGCACGTGTTAAAACTGATCGCGTGTTTAGTTTCTCCGATGTTTGCTACATTCTAAATGTTAAGTATTCTAAAAGAGAATTGTTGCTTTAATGTCATAATATATGTGATAATTGTAAGAAAAAATTTAAAATTGTTAATATAAAAAATTATTCATAATTATGAACATATTTTTATTTTTGTAATTAAATTTATTTTGTATAATCTTTGCGTTAAAAGTAACATATATTATTTATCTACACATATATTATTTGTATACTACATGTAATACTACAAAAAGTATAAAAAGTAATAACTTAAAAAGTAATAATTTTATCTTTTTCTAAAAATAATATCAATATTTTATGAAACATATTACAATATTATTTCACTAGAAAAAGTAACACATTTGATTCTATGAATAATATTTAATATAAGATCATTAATAATAGATCTAAGATATTTAATAATAGATCATTCAAATATTACATCGTTTTTATGATAAACAATCGAAATATATTTCTTTACTTTAATTTATTGTTAATCTTCTTTTTATCGCTATATGCTATTATGTTTTAAAAGTTTTTGCAACATATTAATTTTCAGACAATTTCAGACATGCTTATTTTCATAGCAAAAACAATTTATTTTTTTTTCATAAATTAAAGAAAATATTTTATTTTCCGTGATATTTCTCGCTTTGTCATACGTTGCTTAATATCATTGCAATTTTTTTTTATTCATGAACGTGTAAAAATTCCTCAGATACAAAGTAGATATGTATTTGTAATGAATGTGTGTAAAATGTAATAATATAAATGCACTGGAAATTTTTCGAATGTATGTGTATACTATACAGCCACGTTGTTACATGTTTTTCGCAAAGCAAATATAAGTTGCAGACAATTTTTTTTTTTCATGATAAGTCTACTTCTATTCTATTTTATTCAAAAGAATAAAAAATTCGAGAGAAAGAAAAACACTAGAAAAAGAAAAAAAAAAAATAAAAGCAAGAGTGGACGGAATAGAAATGCATTTTTCAATGAGTGATGAAATGTTCATATTCGATTTTCTTAGAATAAAATCTAATAATATTATATTAATATACTATTATATTATATATTTATAGTACATATAGACTACTTTATTTTTGGCATTATATCATTGATATATTGTATATATTTATAATTGAAAAATTAGATAATCATATATTTTTTTATCTTTTCTGTATGCATATAGTTTGTATGTATTACACGTACTTATATATAATAGGAAATGTAAAGAAAAATGTATAATCCTATAAGTGATATTTAAGAATCACTTATTAAGTAACCTTCACCCTTATTGAATTTCACTTTACATATTAATATACCAGATTGTATAGACTTTTTTTATTCAAATTGTAGTTTGCTCTATAATATTTAAATGTATTAAATTATATATATATTATTTATTTTAAATAAAATTGTCAAAGTATTTTAATAGTAGAATAATATAGTAGAAACTAGTAAAGGACAATTAAACTAATTTTTTTTATTATTGTAATATCGTGCAAATATCAAAGATAAATAAATGTTATGCCGTGAATGTCTTCTTTTATTCATGTTAAACGCTCATATATGTGTTGTAGATTGTATAAATAAATGAAAACCACAAGCACGTACACATTACATCATCGATTAAACCAGATTTCCGTACATGATTTTTTCTCGCTTTAAGGTGATCCGAATAGAAATGCTAAAAAAATTGTATCTATTTGCAACGATTTTCAATAAGAAAATTTCTAATAAAGATTTAGCACAGTGTAGAGATTTTGTATAGTAGAATTTTTATTTATATTTTTGCATATAAAACAGAAACAAGATAAAAATAACTACAGTTTTAAATAAAACGATATCGTATTATAGAATGAAATTATTTTTCTTTGCAATTTAATTTTTTTTAATCCATATTTTAAATTCAAATTTTATGTATTTATACGATAAAAATTAAAAAGAAATTTTAATTAAAAACAATAAAATAAAATATGTGTACTTCAAATGAAAATAAGAATATAGTTCAATTAACAAATAAAATATTATATATATATAAATAGTTACTTTTAGATTCACATAAATACCGAACATAAACAACATGTTATTATGAGGAAATATTACATTTCATAGTTGTTATGAATGTAAATGAAGTATAAATTGAGCATTCAGGAAAAACTGCGGTTACATATTTATATACTGCTTATATGCATATGTATAAATAATCACTGTATATAATTTGACTAAAAATATGACTAGTATTTAAACAAATATTATTCAAATGGTTTTTTATTTAATAATGGTTTTTTATTTAATAGATTATAGACAAAAAAAAGATATTAATGTAAGTGTAATTTAATTATTGAAAAATATAAACATGTACTATATGATAAGAGAAACGTTAGATAATATATTGATCGATAATATAATGATTAATACGACGAAATATTAACCAAATATTCCGAATTATATTTTACGCATTAATCGAACATTTTATATTATTTTGAAAATATTCGATTTATTTTATGTTTTTTATCCTCCTTTAAGCGTAAATTGACAGTGCATACGAAATGATAATTAGTTAACGGCACATTAGTTATTTAAGTCATTGGCTTAAATTATCTCTTCTTCTTTGAAAATTTGAAGGCGTGTATATGTAATTTTCACGCTCTTACTAAAGATAAGATATATTTATTTTTAAAACGATAAAAATATTCGAAATGGTGTCATAAGTTAAAGCACATTCACCTAACGATGTTTCAAAATTTTTTCAAAACGAATTTCCGCTTCTTTGAAATCGAGAATTATTATAATGTGATTATATTATAAATATATATATAACATAATAGAATCGAGATAAAGTACCTAGCCTAATATAAAATTATAAAGAGAAAAAATTTTATTTCTTATATATACTTTTATACGTATATTCCAAAGTGATGGAAACAAAATATTAAATCTTTCAATTTTGATTCGATCGAGTGATCTTTTTTTTTTTTTTTTTTTTTTTTTGAAATAAATCACCCGAGAAACAAAATCAAGAACTTTTTAAAAAGTGGCGTCGATCGATTCAACTTCTGAGTGACCCAAATATTGGTATTGTTAAAAGTTGTATTGTACTTGCCGCGATATTATGTATCGTAATTATGATTCCGCAATTTATAAATTATAAAATATTATAAATTTTCCAGTAGCTGAATGGACACGGTGGCTCGGGCAAGGCACGACGCATGGATAGATAAAAATTTCTGACAAACAGGAAACGTGCGGCATGGGTCTGCCGCGTCTCTCCCTAAAGGGATATTTTTTCTACGTGCTATGCTCGTCTGGTCTGTTGTTGGTTATATTGAATCTAGTGCAGGACGAGATATGGCACCGTATGCGACCTCATCCTGGACGAACGCCACCCGTTCGCGTTTCCGACAACACAAAGGTAATTCGAAATTAATTTTTATAGTTGTTGATTAAACAATGATATTTAGAGAGAAAGAGAGACGTCCTACTCAAATGCCAATTACAATCCAGCGATAAACTCTTGAGCATTTCATTTCGTTTTTAAAATAATCTCAGGGATATTTTGGATTGTGAAGATTAGAAAGAAATTGTTGTATTTTTATATAAAATATCGGAGAAGTATTGTGACTATGGATTATTTTGGGAGCGGATAGAATAGAAAAAAAAAGTACAATCCTAATAATGATGAAAAAAAATCAATTTAAATATCGAATTTCGATCGCAGATCAAAGAAAATTGGCCTGCAAAATTGAAGAAACCGACAATGCAGAATCGGGAAAAAGTGAAGGAAAAGCTTCCATCCGAGGTATAGTTATCAAATTGCATTGTCGATAGATGACTGCAACATAGTATGAGCGTGAAACATAACCGAGACAACCTTTACATCGTTTTATTATTGAACATTTTTATAATATAATTATGGAACTTTTTAAACAATCTTATGAAGTACAATATTAACTGAATCCATTTGAAGGAAAAAAAAGTTTCTACTTTTATTTTTGGCATATTGTTGTAATATATATAAAATTTTATATTGTAGTTTTTTCAAGATGTGAAAGAATATTAAATACATTGAAATGTTGACACGAGTAAATATAATCTGATCTTATATGATTGGCTGGGAATAGTGATACGTTATTAATAATTATTTATTTTTCAAGTATATACAAAAAACCGGTTTAAAATAAAGTCTCTGGAAAAAATAAACGAGTCGATAAATATCATTGAATCTATTTTTATAATTTTTTTATTTCATTGGTGATTCGTATCGTTAATGATTCAGTTTTTTCATTTAATAAAGAATATTTAATACAGGTGATTATTATCGACTTAATATACAAATATTATTAGTCAACAAAACGATTATTTTTTTTCCCCTGCTGCAAATTAAAATACAACAATTTAAATGATTTATTATGTTTGGTTGTCTCTGTTGTTTCTAAAGGTATTGCTAATACTAGTCCTTTAATTTTGCATAGTCCGACTTGTTTCTTTAGTTATTATGTTTGCAAATTATTATTAGATAAGATACATACATAATTATACGAAATTTTGCTTTTACGCTTATCATTAGATAGTATAAAAGCGTGAAAAGTTGTTTGTATTATTATAGCCATTTGACGAAGCAGATAGAAAATTTCAAAGGTAATTCCCGAAACTGAAACAAACACAAAAGTTTTATATGTAGAAAAAAATATATTGATATTGAAGCTTTTTAAAATTACAAGCAATTTAATTTTGTATTAGAGGATACGAGAGAAAGACATGGAATGAGACAATAATATTCTATATCTAATAACTATCATTTCTTTCAAATCAAGTAAATAACAAATTTATATAATATTTGATAAGAAAAAAAAATGATTGATTATTTGAATTCTGAGTAATTAATGATAAAATTGAACGAGAATTGATAATAGAAAGCAATGATAATAGAAAATGGATTCTTTTGTTAAAAAGGTATTCAACTTAACTGGCACCACGACCTTATCACGAAACAGTTTAGAATCCTTGGATCCATCAAAGAGACCTTGGTACATGAAAGGAGGGAGCAGAAGGCCTTATCCTGCCATAAAATCTCATCGTACTGGTCGAAGATTGGCGCGTTTGTGGCCCGACGAAGACGCTTATGACGATCGTGTTACTAATCAAGTGAGATTCAAAATATATTATTTAAATATACATAGATATAGATAAAAAAATTACAGATTTTTATATCATTATAATTATTTACAAATTATTTAATACGCCTCATTGATTTCAATGCGTTTAATAGAATAGAACATAGAATATGTTCAATATTCTGAATAATTTTTATGTAAACGTTAAACTCAAAGACGCCTAAAACAATAATTTCTAATGTCAAAGTTCTTTGAAATTGCGTTATAATTTGCTGTTTGAAACGGACTGCCTAGTTACGACTTTGTTCTACAGCGTGGAAAACGAAAATAGGAGCAGGAACGTTGTACTCCACCTACCCCTTCGAATTGCACAGAGCCATGTACTTTGCAATTCAACCCTTTCTTCTACAACACAATACAGTCTATTATACGCGTATATAGGCCAACGCTTTAAAGAAGCACTGTACACAATCACGAATTTTATACGATTATAATTCATATTTCTTTTTTTTTTCCTTACTTTTGTTAACACTTTTCTATAATAAATTTTTACTGTTATCGTTATTTTTTTAGAAAGTTTTTAATATTTTTTTTTTTTAATAAAACATTGCTTCTGTAATTATTATTACCAATTCATTACATTCGAGATAATGAAATTAATTTTTCGTATCAATTTTACAGTTAATGTACGTGCCCAGTGATTATAACAAAACCAGTGGCGATCGTCCATTAAAGAAAATAATGGTTCCACATGGTATGCCCGAGGCAAAAGTTGGCCCCGATATATTTCTTCAGCATCGATGTCCAGTCAATACATGTACAATCATCAGGGATAACGCCGAAGAGGCCGACTTAATTTTATTTCAAGATTATATAACGCATGTGGGAAGAAGATCTTCGAATCAAGTATGTAAAAATAATGTCAAACTGTTAGCTCAGAAATTATTAGTTTTTTTTTTCTCGAAGCGTTAATTTTATAGTTGCATTTGATTTAATTTCAACTTATACGAAAAAAAAAAAAAAAAAGAAAAAAAAAGAATTGAATTTCACTTTTATCGCTAAGTTAAGTTCAGCTAACTTTAAGCTTTATTCAGAGTATTGATCGTGCCCGTCGCCACAATTTTTTAGACATTTCCGATAATTAAACAAAAGTTAATCAAACTACGGATCCAGATAAAAATTACTTATTACTTTTGATCGAGAACAAGATTTAATATTAAAAATCATTCGAAATCATTTATTAGACTAGAATAAGAGAGAAATACATATATGTTAAATATACTACAAATTCTAATTTAATTACTGCTTTCGATCATAAATTTGTTTAATCGGATAAAATTTTTTTTTTTTTTTTTACATAAATAAAAAATAAATTAGGTTACACTATTATAGAAAATTTAATAATATACTTCGAATGAGACTGATCTACGATTTTCAGCAGGTGTGGATGCTGTATTTTTTAGAGTGCCCTTATCACACGCAGAGCGTGAAGAACGCTATCATCAATTGGACGGCAACTTATCGTCGTGACAGCGACATAGTCGCACCCTATGAAAGGTGGCAATATTACGACCCTAGTATTACACAAATACCGCAGACTTTTAATTATGCAGCCAACAAAACTAAAAAGGTAATAACGTTCTCGTTTCACGTATTGATTTTCACATAAATGTCTTCGTATTTCTTTGATCACGATTATTAACACGTTCAATGCGGTTAATTAAAAAAATCAAAGGAAGTTTTTTTAAAGGAAAATTTTCATCTTCCACATTTTTTTCAAATATCCTCTATAAAGCATTGAATATGTTAATAAAATATCCTCTCTGACAGAGAAATATATGATATTTTGAAATATATTCTAGAAGGTAATTATATGTAAATTCTTTGATCTAGGTAGCCTGGTTCGTTTCCAATTGCCATCCTCGGAATCAACGTATGCATTACGCTAGAGAATTGTCGAAATATATCCAAGTTGACATTTATGGGACCTGCGGTACTTTAAGATGTCCACGTTCGCAGTCTCAAGCGTGCTTCGATATGCTCGATGAAGACTACAAGTTTTATCTCGCGTTCGAGAATTCCAATTGCAAAGACTACATCACGGAAAAGTTCTTCGTCAATGGTCTTGGGTATGATACGTTTCACTTAATATACCGTTACTACACGTTATTACACACACGTGTAGCTTGGAACTGCCGATTCGAATAGTAATTTTTTTGATTCTTATGAACCGTGATATCATCTTTTATGAAATATTATATGTATGAATGTATACGCGAGATTTTAAAGCACCACTTAAAAATTTCGCTGGGTTGTTGCCATAATTGCCAAAGTGTGCTTCACGCTTGATTGTTACCTACACCCTTATTTAGTGCACTTTGGTATATGTAGAGGTCCTCAAGATTCCCTCCTGCCCTACTCTCTCTTAAAGTGTTATTTCCGTTGAGATTTTTGGAATAAGAATTATTGTTGCCAAAACTTCAAGTATCATTCGATCTTTGGAATATCGAAAATAATATTTTCTCATTATCTACTATTTCACATTTTTTTTTTTTTTTACGAACAACTTAAATATTTTATGTTATTTTCGCCAGATATCTTAAAGTTATTTACTTAAGCAATTATCTTAGCAATTGTCATATTTTTTTTTATCGGAACAATATTTTGGAATATAAAAAGTTTATACACTTTTCATTGTTTTCAAAGCAGAAAAAAAAAATAATTGAACACGTTATAAAATAAAGAAAATACTCCACTTTATAATTTTCCAATATTCCAAAATTTTAATATGTTTAACATTTCATAATTATATAATATTTTCATTATTATCACCACTTATCGGATTCCATTTATCGGAACGTAATAAATTTCTAGTTTTCTAATTTCAGACACAACGTTCTGCCAATTGTAATGGGTGCGCATCCAACGGATTACGCTCGAAGCGCACCATACCGCTCTTACATCCACGTGGACGAGTTCGAATCGCCGAAAGAGCTCGCCGAGTATCTTCATCGTTTGGATCGAGACGACGAATTGTATAATTCGTACTTTCGGTGGAAAGGTACCGGCGAGTTTATCAACACGTACTTTTGGTGTCGCGTGTGCGCCATGTTGCATGACGATCGGCCGCCAAAATTTTACAAGGACGTGAACGATTGGTGGAGAGGCGATGGGATATGCACGACTACTTCCTGGCGCGAACACGATTCGGTTCGCGCGGGAAATTTAAAAAATACTTGAAAAATTTTCTGCCTAGGTTTTTATCAATTTTCGCGATTAAAACGATGAACGGGAAGGCAATGGGATATACGCGACTCGGTTTGCGCGGGAAATTTGAAAAATATTTTCAAAATTTTCTGCATAATTTAATACACGTATTATTGAATAATAATTGAAGGGACGCGGTGCGTCTGAATTTATATTTACACTTTAGGATAGAATCGTTTGAACTTCCAAGAGAAAAATGGAAAGTTTTTATCGATACGGAATAGAACAATTTGTTCTGTCGTTTTTTTTTCTCTCTCTCTCGTTGTTTACCTTGCAATTCGATTTGTCGCATGGAAGAAAAAAATTAATCCACGGATTCTTTTGGAATCCAGAAACAATACCGAGACGTTCGAGTCGACGAATGTCTGGATAGTCTAATAAAATTGATGAAAAGACTGCCTATTACGAATTTGACGAAACCGAGAGCTAGGTGTAATTCGAATTTGTATTTTTCGATGAACAGCACACAGACTTTTACACTCATCAATCCGATTTTTACGGTGATTAAATCAAATATTGATCTTCTTTCTTCGAACGCGGCAGTAAACGATTGTTGTCTTGACTCTGGTCAATTATTCGAGATTAATTCTTCGCTTTGCGAAACGAAGATGAAAATTTTTATCCTTTGAAACATTTTTCACAATTCACACGTTGTTACATTGATATTAAAAATTTAGATGCATAATTTATATTCATTTTGAAAATTATTCTTCAATTATATCGATTATCGAAAAATTAATTACGCACAGATTGCTTATAGCAAATTTTTATAACGTTCCTTCATCAAATACACGTAAGATTTTTATATGTTTTCAAGAATTTGTCATTCGAATTAGATGTTTGTAAAATGTTATTTTCATATAAATTATATTATAACGTGATAATTTAATGAGACATTTTATATAATCAATGATAAATTATAAAAATTGATATAGTTAGCGCAGAATTTAAGAATGCATTTAAAAAATGCTGACACAATGTCTACACGTTCTGGGGTATACATGAAAAAATTGATAAAAAAACCGTAGTATTCTAAATTAATTTAATCTTCGTAGAAAAACAATTATGGGAATTGAGCAAAATTTATATTTTTGTTTTTTTTCATATTTCTTTTTAAACATAAATTAATTAATAATAAAATTATATTATATTAAGGATGATTTCAAAATCAAAAATGATTCTATTTTTTAATAATTCATGTTTTAAAAGCACATTAGATTACTGTTACGCTTGTCATTTTAAAAGAAAAGTGCTTTTATTCTGTACAATGATATAAAAATTTAATAACATTCATATTGATATCATTTTTAATGTTCCTGGTAACAATACATACTTTATATTTGTTCAATATTCAAATAGAAATCCATATGGATATCTGTTTATTGAATATTTATTCAGATAATATACTTCTATGGATTCGAATTCAAATTATTTTTAATATAAAGCTTGAATTGAAATGTTTATCAAAAGGTTCTTTATTTTTAAAATATTACGTGTATTTTATGAATAATAAGCATGACAATTTCTTATTCTTTTTATGCAAAGAAATTTATTTCAAAGTTGTACTATTTCAATGCAAATTTGACGATTTGCAATTGCACGACACAGAATAAAAGTAAATTATTGGACATTTTTTGCTTAAAATCGTTAATTAAGCATTTTTTTATAATATCAAAATTCTAAAACAATTTTTATCATCATATAACACAATTTTTCTATATCAAAGAAATCGAAATTCGAAACTTTTATTTCCGTATCCTGTATATTAAATTATATACATTTCTATGAACTAGACGATGTGACCGAAAATAAGTATCGAACGAATTATCTGTAAATTATCTTTAGATTAAGTATTTAAAGGTGTGATGTTTACGATTTTAATTGTTGATAGATATCAATAGAACGTATGGATACTAAAATTAACATACTACGACTAGAATAATAAATTTATCGGAATTTTCTCAAACTTTAAAGCGTAACAGCAATCATACGAAGAAATAGCTTTCAAAGTTTTGGGACTATTCGTTAAGAGTGGAATTGACAAATGTAGAATGTGTAAGGAAACATTTGCTGGACTCTTTATATAACTATTTACATTATGGAATTTACTAGATTCGAACGTACACGGGCAAATATAGAATCATATAAGTCGATGTTCGATCTAATCGATCATTTAACAGTAGGATCTTAGCTATACATGGTGAAAATTTTTTTTTTGCCCTTTTTTTTTCTTTTTTTTTCGGAAAACATTTTCTAGAATCACGCCACTGGACGATAAATGGTTACACTTAATGATGAGTGACGTAAGTCAAAATTTATACTTCTTAATTTATTAAATTACCGCAGAAAAAGAACTATTGTTACCTCTTATTAGTTAAATTCTAGTAATTGTGAACACGTGTGCATTTAAACAGAAATACTTGAATAATAGATTTTTAAATTTTCCATGCATCATTCTTTTTTGTCCAATGGCTGATTTCTAAGAAATATTTAAAAAAAATTCGATGATTCACCCTACTTGGCAATCTATAATTACGTCATTTACGTTTTGTAAAGATTCTCTTGTTCATATCGATCCATCGTTCGAATCACGCGAGAAAAAGAAATAAGTGTTGAAATCCTTTTTGTTGACATTCATATATTGTAATATACGCTGTTAATCATGTTCGAGATCGCAAATCCTATTAGATATTAATAATAACAGGTGACACTTAATAGTAACAGGTGATTATTGTTCAACATTGCCAATCACTATCATAGGTGACGATCATTTTTAGGTAAATGATCTTTTTCACGAAGATCTTTCACGTTACATCGATGTATATTCAATACATGCATTGTAAATGTACAGTCGTTATTTGTAAAATATTCCATCGAGTATGAGAGATTTTTGCAAGATCTAGTCAAGTGTGACCTTACTAAAAAAAAAAAAGAAAAAAAAGAAAAAGAGGAAAAAAAAAAAACGTTTTCGAATCATTCTCATTACTACGTACGCAACATGTACCTGTTCAAATGGATTCCTAGTATAAGTTAATTTCAATTTAATTAATATAATTAATTTACGTAGGTATTTAAATAATTATTCATCGAGCGAATCGTTGCGTCTATTGTTCGTTAATTATTTGTAATATTTTTTTTTGGAGTAGATATTATGATATTCTCTATGCGAATTTTATTCATCACGATAATGATGAAAGACACGATTATTGATATCAATTTTTTTTTCAAAATTGTTAAACTCGCATAGTTTCTGAAATATTATTCTAAATTTTCTTACAAATATTTCGTATATCGTTAAATCTTTTTAAAATGTACATTTTATCATTGTATAATTTCCGAATCATTTTATATTTTTATTAATATATTTAATAACTTTCTTCCAATTATAGTTCTCGAATACTTTGTTCAAATTGTAGCATTCGAATATTTTCAAGATTCGCAACTTTGATAAATTATTATAAATTGTTATGTTGCTATTTACAAAAAGAATGAAAAATACATTATTTCTTATTGATTTTTAAAAGAAACATTTCTTATAATACGTAAATTATTTGAAGATAAAATATTATTTAGTTAAGCTTTACCAAACAAAGTAAAAAATAAATTTAAAAATTAAATTGGACTTATATCCGAATAACTTTATATTAGATTTTACAAAAACAATCTTCTTTATAAGTCAATTTTTGCATCAATATTATCACGAAGTTATTTTTTATTTAATTTTCTATCAAAGACATATCAATTGATCAATTAGTAACGATTATTGTTTAAATATCAATATATAATATCAATATTATGGTGAATTACTACCAATAAAAAATTAATACTCGTCATTGTACGAAGAGGTACATATTGTGCTAAGAAATCATATATTTTGCTTTCATTCCTATAATAAATATTAATTATAAAAAAAAATATTGAAGTATGTTAGATAAAGATTTCAATTTTATATTAATACATCTGTAGAATCATTTGTATTATAATTTTCTTTATCTATAATTTTTACAATTTTTAAATTTAGATATTTCTCAATCTTGTTTGGTAAAATTGAAAATTATATCAATATCAGTACAATGATAAAAAAAAAAATCACGATGAAATGTTGTTAAAAAGTATTCGTATACATCGAACATATAATTGTGAAAAAAGTTGCAATCAAAAAATACGTATAATGATAGAAAAAAATGATAGGAAATTAGAAAAAAGAAATCATTAAAATTTTCATTCGCGAGATTATCGTTTGACTTTTCTTGTTCTTTTATCATTCTTCGTTTACTTCATAAATCGATGCTCATTGATACTACATAAATACTTGTAAACTAAGAAATAACTATAAGTTTTCAAAATGGAGGAGAATTTAGTGGAGAGGGAAGAAGAAAGAAACTTTATTCGTAAAAACTAGCATAGTTCAAAATCAATCACGTACGTAGCTCAAAGATAAAAGACACATTCGGGTGTTTTTAGTTCAAAGTGTTCTCTCGTTAGCTCGAAACGAAAAAAAAAAAAACCAAAATACGAGAAATAGGTTAATATATCATAATTTATGAAATGTTACACTTATGAAATGCACGCGCATAAAACTATTATACAAGCGGTTTACTTTATCGTGGATTCGACCACAGGCTTCTAATCGGTTCCTATGTAATTATCCAATCTTTCAAAGTACGCACAAGCAAATTAGTTAAATTTACGTACTTAAGTAATCGATCGACAATTGATTGATAACCAGATAGAAAAGTCGATCGATCCATGTTGCAATTATGCGAGAGATCATATCATCAAGAATACACGCGTGTGCGCATATGTGTGATCTAGAGATATTTTTTATTCGAACATTTTTTTATTTAAAAAAAATTTAGCAAATTCGATTGAGAAATGAAATTAAGGAACGCGTTATTCGTAATGTAAAGCATGTTGAAAGTGACGACGAAAGTGTGTTGTATCATTGTTTGACAATGTTCGAGAGTGAAAAGCGTTTCTTTATGAAACGCGAAGCGAAATATTTTCTAGGAAATTTTAATTCGATTACGAATAATAAAGTATTCATATATATATATATACATATATATTCTCGCTGTACAGGTTATTTCGCTTTGTCGTTGATAATGTATTGTGTATATTTTAAAGGTAAATCACTTTTGGCGAATAATAATGATTTAAATCAATTTTGATTTTGATACGAGATTAAAGTCAAGGTGATCAATTCAATTATTTATTCTTTTATTAATATTTATTAATCGGTTATTACATTGATTGTTTTCGAACTTAATTAAACGCTCGATGTTATAAATTTTATGGAATGCGAATTTTATATAATTCATCATCTTCAAATTAGAATAATAATTATAAATGCAACATACGGAATTCGATAAGAAAGATCTTTTTTTTTTTTTTTTTTTGATAAAAATTTTAACGAATAAAAAAATTAATAATATATGTTAGAAAATAAAGAAAATTTGTTTGTTAAATAGAGAATTTTAAACTTTGAAAATTGTGATACGTAGTGTCTCTCGATTAATTTATTAATTATTGGTGCTGTACACAAATTGGTGCTGATGTATACCATATATTATAAGAGATATAACAAAAATTGATCACATTTGACTCTAATTGAAAACAATATCTTAATTTCAAATATGTACTTTTTCTTTAAATTTATAAAAAAAAAATTGTTTAAACTTATGATATAATGAATACGATAGTGGAACGTATAGAAGAAGGAAA